GTCGGTGCAGTGCAGTGCAGTGTTGAGTTACTACCTTAGCTGATCATTCTTTCTAGATGATCACAGCAGCATGGATAAACTTGGACTCTCGGAGCTAACGTTTCATTCACAGCAGTGTAAAGGAGCTCGTACAAGTTTTCCGCCGCTTTTATAAATCTGTTTACCAGTTCCTAATATCTTTTCTGCTAGGTTCAGACTCATACTTTACAATTTAAACTTCAATTGCTCGGGATTTCCCCATTTTTTATAAAATAATAAACACATTTTCAGCTATCAACTATCCAAAACGATAGAAAATTTGTGCAGCACATTTTTGACAATTGTGGTAGCAATTTTTTGACAAACAGCGCAGTTTTGTCAAATCTTTGGCCAGCAAAATAACTCCCAATCAAATGGGAGTAAAATCGAAGATAATACAATGTAGTTCTTTGGAGTCGGATCACATCAATCTAATTTTACAGACGAGCAATATAAATATGTTTTCATACTCAGAATGGAAGTGGACATGATGAAATTTCTACTGCATCTAAATTGTTTCTTAATATATTACAATTCTTGCGGGGAAAGAAATGAAGTTGGAAGGCGTATGTCAATGTTATTCCATTTTAGTTATTCCATGTTCAAAAAATGGACATCGAACCTTTTATCTGCAAATTATGTCAGTAAATGTTACTGGTCTTCTCAGTGATATCAGAACCATCTCTGTGAAAAGGAATGATTTAGTACATGGATGAAAAGTAATGGAATCATATCAACAATACGATATGGATGTGTTGTGGGATTTTGAAAAATCATATTGCACAACTGGTGTTCCCAGACGGACAGACGGTTTGGATCGACCCCTGGACCCCATCCTCTTGCCAGAGCTATCTACCGCCGTCCAAAGTACAGTTTTCTGATATATTTTCTCAATTTTTCAGTTTTCTAAAAATAGAACCGACACTATATTATTTTAAGTATATTATAGAAGAGTAAAACCTCGTCTTAAAAGAAAATTCCATTGAAAAATTGTGAGCCGTTTAAGCGTTACTGTAAATGCGAAATTAAAAACTCTTTCACCGAATTTTTTTTTGAGATTCGCGATACTTTCTCTTCTTACGTTAGCAAGTGCGAGAAAGTAACAATTCACCGTTCACAGTGAAAATAGGACCTATTCCTCTTTATAAGTGTATTTTATACTATTTTTACAAGAAATGTAAAGAAAAAAGTTGTAGCGGTTTTTGAGGAAATTTTATAATTTCCCGGGGACTTGATGTAAAGTATCCCCAAATTTTAAAAAAATGTTTTTCAAAACCTCTAAGCTTTGACTCGAGCCAGACTGACCGGGGTTTCTTCAATATGAAAGAAATTCTATGTTTGGGCGTTAGTGGTGTTGACAGACGGACGGGCGGTCGTTTTGAAAAAAAAAAATCGGTATCAGGGGACCCCAAAACGTGTAACTCCTTTGCAATCTCGAAAACTATTTTCCGCAGCATTACATAACTTTCTCTATACTCCGTATATTGCTGCGTATATCGTCTCCTATATTACTTCAGTAATATACATACCTTTTTTGCGGCTCTCACATGCAACCGCTCTGTATAAATAAGGTCACTAAAGACAGGGAATTTCACGTACGCGTGGCAAATTTGCACTTCGACTTTAAAAATATGACGGATTTGTTTAAAAAACACATCCAAGTATTCATGTAAAATGCAATCCTAACTATCGGTGTTCATTGACGGATGGACGGACAGACGGAGCGGACGGACGGTTAAAAAAACAACATTTTTTCATGTTTCACCCAAAAACGTGTAATTCCTTTGAAATCTCCAAATCGACTTTCCCTCTGCATTACATAACTTGCCTTATACTATGTATATTATTCAGTATACGTATGTATGCCAGGAAGTAACTAGAGATGCTACAGAATGGCACAGACGTTCTCATTAAGTTTTCTGTGTTCCTAGGCATGGAGTGCATTACGGTCTGGCCCCATCCTCTTGCCATCTGCCATCTTTCGCCGCTCACAGTACATGTTTTGACATTTTCTCCATTATCGGTTTCCTAATAGTAGAACCTACATACTACTTTAAGAATATTAAAGAAGAGTAAAAACTTGTCCCAAATAGCAACTTTCATTGAAACATTTGAGCCATTGATAAGAAAATGGGGTTTAAGCGTTACTGTAAATGCAAAATTTCAAGGTCTTTTTCTCAGAAACTTTTGTCATTTGAGGTACTTAACAAATGCAATAGTTTATAAATCTCTGGATGTGTGCATATTAACGGCGTAAGAGATATTAAAAAAAGTTTTGTTTAAGCAATTTTTTCTCAAAAACGGCATCAACAATTTTGATTAAATTTTGACCTCAAATAGCATATCTCATTTTTGTTCAGAAAATGGAGCAGGTCTCAAGTTAGTTAAAATGCTTATTTTTAAAATTCCTACAATTCAAATTTTTCTTGGCGTCTTCCTACAATTACAGTTATGAAGATAAACAATTTTTTCCTAATGAAAAGTGTTCATCAAAAACATCAACAAATGAGGTAATGTTAAATTTTTCGAAAATATGAGTATTTTTTGTTAAATTTGGCTTCTAACATAGTCGTTTGCTTCGAATTTCTTGCGCTTCGTGAACGTAAAATGACGGTGATTCCAGGCAGTTGGATGCTTCGTAAGTTCGAATTTTAGTATTAGTACATATTTCTTAGTTCGTTTCTTACATTAGAGCTTTTGTTATTCGTATACAAATTTATCATTTAGAAATTATTTAAAATCAATTTGAAAATTCATATTTCTTTGCTGGGTTGCGAGGAAAGTATTTGCGTTCTCATGGTATTGATGTATTTTCTTTCAAGCAAATCTTAATTAAAATTAGCTAAAATTTAAAAATACGATCTAATATGAAAGAAAAATTGCTATCCCTCAGGGAATATCATAATGAAATGCAATGTCATTCCACGCCATGACAAAGCAGATGAAGCTCTGTGAATTATGACTCATTGTTGAGACATGATTTAGCTGAATGCAAATCAGTTCCTTATAATTGTCATATTTATGTTGATATTTGCTTGAAAATATTATTTAGTTTACGCAACAAATATTCTACGATTTGTAACGAGTTTTACAAAAAATGATGCCTGTGTTGTATTAATTCGGCGAGAAACTGGGATATAAATAACAGTAGTGCCTATTACATAACCATTACTACGGGCAAGAAAACATGTGCTGTTTTAGCGCCACTAGTTCCTTAATGAAATCTGCGCCTTAAAGACGGAGCTTGAAGTAAATTCATGTTCAATTTTCAAAAAAATATGAGTGGTTTTCGTGTAATTTAACATTTTCTCACAAACCGCTCCCAATTTTTCCTTTAAATTTTTTTCACGTATAGAAGAAAGAGTGGTTTAAAGAATGTTGCGGGTCTAATTTCGTTGAACTCTCTGAATTTTCAAAAATTTGAAAATGTAGAAATAATGCGAGAATGTATGTGCTGTTGTAACACTGGTTTGATATGATTTAAAAGCTTAAATGGAACGATGTTTAAAAATTCTGGTCAACAGAAATCCAGTGTTTTCACTACTTTTTTGAAAAAAGAGCAACTTGGTTTTAAAAAAAGGCAATGACAATTTGTTGCCACGGTTTAACTATCGTATTTCTCGTAATTTCCTCCACAATGTTCTACTTTTACTTTCTCGTATACATACGTGTATACGGAGTAATATACGTAGTATAGTGAAAGTTATGTAATTCAGTGGAAAATTGGTTTCAGGATTTTAACGGAAATACACGTTTTTGGGTCCCCTGATACCGAAAAGGTGTTTTTTAAACGTCCGTCTGCTCGTCTGTGACCACTACAAGCGCTTAAACCATACGTAGGATTTTTACCAAATTGAAGAAACCCCTGTCCATTTGGCTCTAGTCGAAGCTTTGATATTTTGAAAAACATTCTTTAAAATTTGGGAGTACTTTACAAGAGGCCCTTGGTGCATTTTAAAAATTTTATAAAAAACGGCTCCAAACCTTTTTTATTAAATTTCTAGTAGGAATAGAGTAAAATACACTTATAAAGGTGACATGGGTCCTGTTTTCACTCTTAACTTTACAATTTTGAAAATTGCAGAAGTTTGAATTTTTTCCGCGTCTTCCTACAACTACAAAATTGAAGATAGAGGTTCTTCCTTCAAATAAAATTTGTTGTCAATAATTAGTTCTTTTATTAAGGTCATGTACTTTTTTAAACAAGTTTAGTAGTTTTCGCGCAACATTGCGTGCAGTTTGTGCAATTTTAAAAAAGTTACAAAAACAAAATTTTCTCAAAAACGGCTCCAATTTTTTTTTTCTTTAATCTTTTGTTAAGTTTTGTAACTAAATTCACTCTATAAGATTATGTAAACGCCATATTGCTCTATACTTAACTAATACGGGAAACTCTGTGCCATTCTGTAAAACCTCTAGTTCTACTTTTGCGTAATAGATTTGCCAAGAGAACAGGAAATACGAAGAAATTGTCCATGAGAGCCTATTGTGCTATCTTGATGTGAAAATGTGAAATTTAAGAATATAGTATTTTAAATTACGTATATAATCAATATATACATGTATAAACATACACATATATAGTGCCATTTTACAGAAATAATGATTAATCCACTCATGATCTTGTATGGCGACGCCACCTTGGGACAACCGAACGATTGATTTTTTGAGAAATGTGACAGGTTGCACATTATTATTTGGCTAATAAGCAAAATATTTACTCAATAAGAATTCATCTTTTTTCTCCTATTACATTAACAATATATCATTAGTAAAAAAGAAATAAATAAAGTTCCAAGTTGAACGAATACGGATATAGAAATTTGAATAGAGCATTATTTTCCTACGTCTGTAGTTTAACCATTACAAATATTCACCACAAAATTAAATTTGTTCTTACGAATACTGTAATATTCGTAAACTAGATCCGTAGACTGAAATATTCGTGTACTTTTCGTCTTTCAACAATTTATGCGTGTACTATTTCCACTACTACATTGGCATGTGAGTTCACAACTGATTTTTAACAGTGATACATAGAATTTCAATTTCTCTACTTTTACGCAGGAGAGGATACCAAGAAGTGTCCTTTTATTATACTATTTTAGTTCATTCAAACGCTGATTGTTATGCATACTATTTGGGTGTGTACGATGGTGTACGCAGAGAGTATATTTGGGTGTACGATTGCACCCGCGCTCGCTAGGTATGTGTGTGAATGCCTGCGAATGTGTGTGTTGGCGTTGGTGGGTTCCCGACAGTTCAGTCCAGTTGGTCAGTACCAGAACAATCATGTCCCGTGGTCCATAAGCAGCTGTTGTAATTTTGAAAGAATTTTTCGTTTGGTTACAGTTCGGAATGGGACTTGATGGAGGAATAAATTCGAAGTGGCAGAGTCTATGAACTGAATCGACGCAAATGTTACGTAGTATTTGCATCCTTTTCTATTGACATATTGTATTTGTCGTGTTACAAACACGTAACTGAGTACACAAAACGTCAAACTAACATTCAGTGAAAAGTTTATTTAGAGCTTTAGGAATAATTCACAAGCTAATGAATATTAGTATTAACAGCAAATTCATTCTGTATTTTTGACTCGGGCACTTATTGACATGTCGAATTCAGGGACACCGCCAACGCCTCGCCCAGAAGCACTGAAAAAGCTGGCACAATTGAGAATTGAAAGATTGAAGAAAGAGGTACGTACGTATTTATCTTCATATTGTTCTTAAATAAAAACACGTAATAAGAAAAATCATGCAATTCGTATAATATGTTATGAAATAATTTTGACATTTCCAGTGAACACGTTGAAAAATTGAGACTATTAGCTTTTAACATTTGCAGGAGGAAGAGGAACAATGGATATCTGGAGAAGAATTGTATACAGAAGGTAGTAGTGATGAAGATGACATGGCCTTGAGAACCAAGAGGAAATCCAATGAGAGAGGTTTGAAGAAGTCATCAAGAAGTGCAGGATGCAAGGCAAAAAAACAGATAAAAGAAGAAAATAAAAAGCCCCAGAGTCATCTTATACCGCAACTAAATTTGACTTCTTGTGTAGAAAAAAATGAAATTGAAGAGAAAACCACCCCTATTCACTCTGGTAAAGATCAAAAGAGTGTTGACAAAGCTTGCTCTGAATTAGATCCAAAAATTCTTACAACAGACACACTTCCTTGTAGCTCAACACAAAACGATGAAGTACAGGAAGAGATATCATGGAGGCCTAAACGGGGTAGTATTAAATTACCAAATTTGACAACTGAAGGAAGAGTTGAATTACTTGGTAATTTACAAATGTAGTGCAGCAAATATTCAGATTCAGCATTTTTAAGGTTTAAACATTTTGAATGTTCTCATTGTTAAAATGAGATTGATAGTCCTTACAGGAAATATAACCAGTAGCTTGTGTCATGAGTACCATTTGCTAAATTTTGAATATACACTATATATTTTCATACTGAGAATGCTTTTCTAATTATTTTCAGAAATACTTTTAATAATCTTGGTACAACTGTGATAGTGTGCTAAAAAAACAAATTTGTGTCTAAATGAATGTGGACGTTCAGAAAAATTTATATTACATAGCAATGTGAATCTGTCTTGTAAGAGGATTTGGGACAATTTGTAAAGAATATTTTATTATCATTTGATAGACTATTTAAAAATATTTTATTTTATCTCATTAATTTACAAGATTTTCTTCTTTTGTTGATGTTATTAAGGAAGATTCATTAAAATTTGTACATATTTTACTTTTGTGAATATTATATAAAGATTGTTAGATTTACTTGTTTTTTGGTTAGTAATGGTTGTTTGGTTTTAGGTTAATGATGAAATAATAGGAATATAAAAGCTGAAAAACTTTTAGTGTGAGTAAAACTTTGTTTTTGAGGTAAAACACAATTGTCAGTGTTTTGTCTCAGAAAGTGTATGAGATCAGAGTGAAATAGTAATTCTCTCTTGCCTGATGTGTTAAGATGTTTTCTGCAAAACAAAGAAGTGAGAAGATTGTTCAAAAATGTTATAATATTTTTTGAAAAAGTATTTATTTTGGGTAGTGTAGACTGTCATTAGGAAGTTTTTGGATAAAATCTCTTGCACATTTTGATATTGATAATTGTTTGATAATTTTTGTTTCTAAAATATCCTGTTGTTGCTAGAACAATATGTATAATTATAATAAAACCTCTAGGCTAATGAATGTTATTTATAATTCAGGGTTGGAAAGTAAAAGTGAGGCATCATTAGTCGATGCTGATGAAGCCTATTGTGCTATGATTGAAACAATAAAAAAATTAAAAACTTTCTTCATGGATGAATTCTCAATTTTTCCAAGTATAGCTACCGCAGAAAGAGGTAGTTCAAGACAGAGAAACATTAAGGGTATCAATGCGAATAAAAACTTAAGTAAGCTACTAGCTAGTGACTGGCATTTTCTGCATGAAAGATGTGATGATAAAAGTGCCTTGACTAACATGAATGTTTTGGATTTTCTTCTTGAGATTATTGACTTTAAACAAAAGGTGAGTGAGAATTTGAGTAAGACTAACACAAACCAGTATTTAGAGATTGATAATATTATTCAGTAAACAGTTCCAAACTAGTTGGAAATGTCGTGTTTGTGTGTAGAAGTAAATTTCATGAATGTACTTAATGAAAATGAGCACACTGATTGAGATCACTTCTGAAAATTTTTCCATGCTTCGATGTTCAGGAAGCTCATGATGAAACACTAAATGTTCAACTTCAGATTAGAGAAGAATTGAGTCAGTTTATGGTATCTCAAGCACCTTCAAGTGATGAAGTGAGAAAAAATATAAACAGTTTTCTTGAACATTGTTTGTTTGCTGAATACAAAGGTAACCCTAAAGGTATTGAATAATATCGCTTTTCATGTATTTGATTAGAACCTGATGACTTGAGGTTATTTATGATTATTTGGTGCTATTATTTACATGGTATGAGCTATCTTAATTATTTACACACATCTGCTACTTGTTCTATAAAATGATAAAAAGAAGGCACGAAATGTGAAATCCAAACAGCATGTTACTACATATTCAGTTTTGTGTCCTCTAGTGCAATATTTTAGCTTGCACACCCAAAAATATTGCATTTCATTCCATTTGAACATGCTTCTATAGGAAGATTTCTGTATTTTTCTGAACACTAGTCAAAGCTTGGAAATTAATGTAGACAGGCACTTTAAATTATTGTATGTTTATATAATTCGGTTGAAAATGAAAAACACTTACGAAGAAACAGTTAACATTTTGGTTGGGAATATAAAAGGGTGTATTGTTCAATTGAGGAAATATTTTTGTATTTTTGTAATTTTATAGTCACACTACATCCCATTTAATAAATGTATATTATAAACACGTCCATATTAATTCTATTATGTACATAGTATTTCTCATTGTAATCTTTAAATATTTTGTAGCATAGTAAAAGCACTGCATTTTCTTTCACAATGAGTAATTTACTTCTTTGTATGTATTTGTTTTAATGTCTTTGTATTTAATTCATTTTCTGATAAATATAATTTGTATTTAACATTTAAAAATAATAGTAAGTAATATTTTGTTCCTAAATGAAAAATGAAGTGAATTAATTCAGATTTTTTCAGTGTCATTGAATTTCTTATTATTGGAGAAGAATTATCTCTGATAGACTATGCTATTTAGAGAGAACTTGAGATTTGTGTTTTCATTATTATGTCTCGAAAACAGATTTGGCAAATAATTATTAGAAGTTCTGAGAATATGGCAAATGTGAGCCCAGTATAAATCAATACTTATTCTTATGGGTAAAACGTTTTCTTCAGAATTTATAATTGCATATGACGATCACTGATCCAAACTTGCAATGGGAAAGTAAGAAATGGTAATATTTACAGCTACAGACTCTATCACTACCCTTATTAAAAAAAATTATCCCTTTAACATTTAAATATTTTGCCAATTAATATTGTCATTATTGTAAAAAAAAAATGACTTTAAGGAGAAAATCGTATATTTGTTATAAAAAGGAATCACAAGTAGTACTCTTAATTTACAAATTGAATTAATGATGAAGTAAGCATTTTTGTGATGAATATGGTTTTGCACTGATTTCCAGACATTAAAGCTTTAAACAATGGAGATGATATGCAAAATCCAAAGCATTATAAAGATGAAATTGTTCAGTATTGGGAGATAAAACATTGTGATAGTATAGAACACATAGATGCTGTAAAATTAACCATGTTTAATAAAAGCTTCATTTCTGGAAATGAAATGTACCCACTTTGTGTTCCTTCCGTTGAGAAAAATGATGATCAAGAAAATATAGAGGTAACTTTAATAGCCTTTCTTGTAATTAATACTACTTTATTTTGTACAAATTTAAATTACAGTGTTCATCAAATATTATTTGTATTACCTTCAAAATTACCTGCGTGTAATTTTCTTTCCGGTGTCGTCTTGAAAATAATTATAAAGGGATTTTGTGAAAGGGAAAAGGTGCCCATTGCTCTGCTTTGAGGTTTTAGATATGACAATATTCATTTGGTAATGAAAACTTTACTCTCTATTAGTGATTCATTTGTGAAGATTTTTGAATTATGAATTGTTTTCATTATTTGTAACTTGATATTACTTAAATGGCAATACAATTTTTTTTTTTGTAAACTCCTATGTGCCCTAAATAAATCAAAAGGCTTGTTCAAAGTGAAAGTATTGGATTATAAAAATGAAAGTTTTAAATTGTAAAAATATGCTAATTTATTTGATGGAAACTACTAAATAATTTAACCCACTTTCGATAGGATGGTGAGGATATTGTTCCATTAACTGACGAGGAGAAATTGAGACTTGATGAGCTGCTGGATGATGATAGTGAACCACAGTCAATAAATGAATCTTTCACTACTGACGACAATTCAAACAGCAATTGTGATACTAGATCTTTTGAAGGAGGAAGGGAAAATGAAGTCTATGCATTTAATGAGGAGATGAAACAAAATCTTGACAAAATAAATGAGAAACTACAAGTATGTTTAATAATCGCTGAAAATTCATTGGATATTAAAGGGCAATTGATAACTTGTTTGAATCTTTTTTGTAATTTACCAGGCATTTTCTAAAAGCCAGTGTGAGAATGAAGTACCCTCTCCAAAAATTAATGCTGATCTATCAGAACCCAAGAGTGAGGAATCTTCAGAAAATCATGAAAAGTAGTAACTGAAAAATATTGTTAAATTTTGTAGTGCTTGATTGAAATGTACTCCTAAGTATGTGTAAATATTATTCAAATTGGGTGCTTTCTCTTCAATTTTCTAGTTGATATGTGCTAAAATCACAGAATAAAAATGAATATCAAACTCAATTTTTTCTGTAATGTTATTCCTTACTTCCTTTGAATGGCAGAAAATGCTGTATTTTCTCCATTTAAACACAGACCAAATACACAATTGTTAATGACACAATTCAAGTACCTAAAAATATATCATATGTATTAGAATGATTTAATGCTGCTATTTTGAAAAGAGATACAAAAGTTGCTCAGTGGGCAACAGAGTACATGGATAAAAAGGTAATGAATAGGAAACAGAATTTGTCGTAATAAAAAATACAAAATATGAACCTATATCTATGTAAAATAAAAACTTATTAAAGTGTATAACATTGCTCTCCACGAGGCATTTTTCAAGCATAAATCATCAATCAGATCTTATGATGGATTTGGAGTGACTGAAAGGTATTTTGATCTCTACAAAAGTAATTATACAATAGTTTTCATCACCTGTAAGGGTTTTATTCTCAATATAAAAAAATGTTAGTTTTACGACACAATGTTGTTTACGAGTATCCAGTGCTCAAGTGAATAGTAGTTTCATGTAGTCAGTGATGGATCTCGAAAAAAAAAAGAAAAGAGGGTTAAGGGGAACCACCTCTAACCAACGAAGTAATAAGAATGATCTGTAAAAAATTATGTGCTCTATGGAATATGAGCAAGCAAGTCTGTGTTTGTAATTACTTCTGCTTCACAAACATCCACTCATACTTCATTCCAAAGATGCAGTTTCCGAGAAATGGGGTGGGGTGAAGGTTTGACAATTCAAGGTGAAGATCTGGAGGTCAAAGAAGTGCTGTAGCTTTACATTGCTTTGTAAGAAAGATGATTCAAAAATGGTTTTAATTCACTCAGAATGTCTTGTGACCTCTCAAAAGTATTATTGAATGCAGTCATCTTGTTCCCAAAAAAATTTGTATTTACATGAAAATCCATTGCCTAGTAAAGTATTCTGTTTGAATAATTACTTTCTGTGCTTTGATCCCCCACTGTTTCAAACTTCACTAATGATTGAAAGCAATATCAAGTCATATTTTGTACAAATACTACTTAACATATTTAAACAGGTTAAATCAGTTTTAGGTACAATTAAAAACAAATTTTGAAATTTCCTTCAAATCTATTGTCTTCATACTATTAAAGAAAACACACACACACACACACACACAATAACACCTTTTTGTATGATTCAATTGGAACTCCAACTTGTCTTTATTAACATTTGTGCAAAAAGGTCTTAATTTACAAAATTTTTGAACTTGCACATTATTTTAATACAAAATATCATAACTTATATTGTATACAAAAATTTGTCATGAAAACATTAATCATTTGATATATCCATAAGAGGTTTGAATGTTTACATAATATTCAATATTATGAAAAATTAAATTATTACTTACGTTTATTTCAGGTTAATGTACTTCACAATACTCGTAGCAATATAATTTGCTATGTATCTCTTATGATAAAAATATTTTTCTAATATTATTGATTTTGTAATTATTATTCATTCTATTTTACTATTATTATTACAACATATTGTTGAAGATATTTCTTAGGAATTATAGCCATTGTATATCAAAAAATATTTTTATTTTTTTGAATATTCTCATGAAGTTATATTATTATGAAATGTCGCAACAAAAAATCAATTACAATTTCACATTTATAAATCCTGCGAACAAATTAAAGGACTCAGTTTCTTTTAGACAGTTCTGTATTATGTTGCAGTATATGAAGTGATGCAACCATTTAATGCTGCAGCAACAAGCATAGGTTTTCTAGGGTTAAATGAAACATCCATCACTATATCACCCAATCCTCCCAGTTTGTGTAAATAGTCACTGCATTTTCTTGTATCATACAAGTAAACCTGTAAGTAAAAAGAAAGAAAAGAATTCATCAGTACTGTTACATTCATCAAATTTCCAAAAAAACATTATGACAACTTAAATACTTTATTAAACTTGCATATTTATCTTCAGATCCAGCTGCAACATAACAGCCACATGGGCTAATGTCTATTCCACTAGAATAAGCTCGATTTACATGTTGGCAGTATTTCTGGACACATCTGCAACAAATAATTTTTTTAATTTTAGGAAAATGTATCTCTCTTATAATGTAATAAGGCTCTATTGGCTGAACTGTTTCTTTTTATACATTAGCAAGTTTTCATATAGTTGGTGTCTGCCAACATGCAAAATTAGAAACTAGGACTTTTGGTTGAGGCTATAGGATATATTTATTGAAACAGTAGAAGAATGCCAAAGAAAATTGTAAAACTATTTTAAAAGAATGAAGACAGATGTGTAAATCATACTGGCATAGAGGTAAAGGAATGGAGAGAACATCTAAACTAACATGGCTAGTTCAGGATTCTGCAAGGATCATGGCACTAAAATGCGGGCCCCTCATCAGAGGCAGATCCAGGGGGAGGGTGGCTTGGGTGGGGGACCATGCCAACATTTTTTTGAATTTTCATTTGTAGTCCTTATTGCATCAAAAGCAGTATTCTCATTATGAACATATTTGTACATTTTTCATTTCAAGCTAACATGTATTTTTTTTTTTTTTTTCAGGGATAATTGATTTGATTTACATACTATAACTAAAATAATGCCCAATTGTGAACAAATTACAACAACATACATTAATCAAATTACCCATATTGCATTGCAAAACACAAACTCCAATTAAGAACAGTCATTATTCAATAAAACATAATTTGAAATACCCATTTGTCATTGATATAAATGAGCCTGAACGATGCGTAACACACAGCTCGTACAAAAGAACTATCATACCTATTACTCAGCTCAAATAAAAAGCTATCATGTTTCAAATATTTCACACAAATAAAAAAAAAGTATTGTTTCAAAAATATTTATGAGATTTTGAACTGAAGTTATCCCATTTTTAGGACTTTCTATATGGTATCAACTTAAAATTAGCCACTTTTTAAGGATAGTTTTGAGATCTTCGTTGTGTTTTCACCTAAATTCATCGGTTGCACTGTGGAAATAGGCAATTTTAAATTTTTTCTTAGTTTCTGGAAAATGTAAGAATTGTTCATGTATTTCATTCCACTTTTTTTAAAAAAAAATACATGTAATATTATTACATAAAGTTAGGAAATGGCATGTCAAATGTTTGTTATTTTTGAGGAACTGAACTCGCAGACTATACTAGCAAATTATAAATGTCCAAATACAATTTAAATTAATACAGTTTCAAATGAAAAATTAAATTATTGAAAAAATAATATTGCAAGAATTTTGCAATGCTTAGCATATAGTGTACTGTTTCTTGCAAATAATAATTAAATTCATTTAAATAAACTTAAAAATAAATTGTAATAATTGAAAAATAAGCAGGTGGGTTATAACTGGAATTATAGCACAAATTAAGTATTTTATAATGTAGGGCTATGGGATCTCTTTCAAACTTTTCAGGGAGACCTTAGCCCCCTGAACCCTTTGGCCCCCTCAGTGCATGGCATGCCTAATCAGCATTCAGATTAGCAAAATTCTTAAGGAGTTAAGCACTTTTATCTTACAAGGGGAGTCTTTAAGTTTTTAAATAAAATACAAGAAGCTTGACTAGTGTATTGTTATTTACCTGCCACTTCTCAAATCCCAAAGTTTTGTACTATCACATACAGCAGCGGTGAGAAACAAATTGTACATTCCTGGAGGATGTGCCAGGAATTGTGACCCTTCCATTTGCTTCAAATGGTGAGCAGGACGAGAATGGATATTTTCAAGTACACTGACAAATTTTTGGACATTCATATCATATACTTGTAAGGAGCGATTTGAACAACAACAAAGAATGATATCTGTATATTTGTCAAGAATAAATATTACTATTAAAAAATTTCAAAAAAGGTTCTACACCAAAATGATTTTAAAGAAATGACAACTAGAAACAATAATTAGATTTCTGACCAAGAAAATTGTACTTTAGCCCATTTGTTACATAACCGTGAGTTCACACAATAGAAAAAAATCTTTATGTCAAACTGAGTGAACAAAAGCAATTTCTTTAAAATGGCATGTTGTTGAGTTTCCTTAAACATTTTTATTAAAATAACTTCCTTCCCTTGAGGATAGGTCTCCTACTTACATTCTTAGCGACAATTATTTTGTAGAAATATATAATGAATAAAATAGATTTAAATATATAAATTATTAACTATTTTGAAATATATAAAAGGTAATTGAACATTGCAAAGAAATGATCTTTGCATTCTAATGAAAAGGATACAAGAATGAAATTGATTTGCAGCACTGAAACACGTAATGTGTTGAGCTGGAACATTGATTTTTGAAATTCGCTTTGTTCTGAAATCCCTGAAAACAAATAAGTTACTGTACTGCTACAACCTATACTTTCAAATTTCATAACATATTTCATCACATAACTACTTACTGTACTTGATGACTGTCAATTTCATGTAGTAAATGGGAGAACAGCTCGAGATAATCTTGACTAATGGTAAGAACAAATTGATCCATGTAATAAAATCTTGCTTGAGCAATTGAATTCTTGTTTACTTCCTAAATATGATTTATTGTAATCAATTCTTTATATACACAGTAATTTGAATTGCTAAAATCATTCATATGAATTGCAATATGTTATTAAATTTTACCTTTCTGATATTATTTTCACTAGATTTCAGACCAGCTGTACTACTATCTATATTTATGATGCATTTTTTTTGTCTCCAATCCCACACTTTAGCGGTTGCATCAAAAGAGGAACTCACCTACAAAATGTGAATCAAACATACATTTAGATAACATTTTTTGTACTGTAATAATAATAATAATAATAATAATAATAATAATAATAATAATAATAATAATAATAATCATCATCATCATCATCATCATCATCATCATCACCATCACCATCATCATCATCATCATGACCACGACGATGGAAAAGTAATATGTTTATGTATAATAATAATGTAAACTTTCATTTTAGAAGAATAAAGATGTTTACAAACACTGAAATATTTTCAAAAATTCCTGCTATACATTTCTTTTTAAGATATTATGAAATAATACCCACATGATTGAATAAAGATTTTAGGGAAAACAGAACTATAAATTGTATAATTCATATTTTTACTATTATTTACTGGTAAATTTAGAAAAAGATTAGCTAATATCAGAAATTGGCAAGTTTCAGAATTTCAATTATTACAATTTCTTTATTTTAATGTATTTTTCATATGGGACCTTCCAATTCTTCAGATATTTTCTGCCACATCAGTCATGCAATAGGCATCAAGGCTTAAAACTTGGAATGTTGTATCCAGAAAAAAATCAATTATAGTTGTTTTTTGGAGATGTGCATAGACGTACCAACCACTTAGAATTCAAACTATAATGCAAAGAATTGACAGGGCCATTGTGCCCTATGAGATTTAATCCTTTTTCAGGGTTCAGATCAGAAGATTTTAAGACACATATGTAGGAAGCAGTAGAGCTACAGGCCATGTTTTCTCCACCACCTATTCAAAAAAGTCAAAAAGGAATTATAAAACTATTGTTCTCTTTAAAAGGAAAAATGATCCAACTAATTCTAATGACAGTTAATAAATCAAGAAGAGATTATATGGCATGTGAAAAAATATTAAGTACTTTAAAAATATATTTACATACATAATGTTCCCTTTTAGCTTATTTCCATGGGTCTTACTTAGTAGAAAAATATTTCATCAAAGATGCCTTTTAGAACTCATCACATAAATGAAACTGTCATGTTTTTGACTACATAACCAACCACAAATACAATCTTTAATTGCCAATGGAGAGTCATCATCAATCATTTATAGGAGTAAAAGAGAATAATGACATCATAAATTAAAAATGTATGACACAAAGTTTAATATCAAATGGAAATCTTCTAATTTTCTAAATAATAACTATATGTCAGGAAAAGTGAATTATTCATTGATTAGTATTGCCAAGCAAGTCAATGACTAAGGTAATTTGTTCCGCAAGTGTAGTGCAAGTTTTACTTTGAGACGTGGCGCTAATCTTCCCCCACTTGACGGTGAGACAGTGCTGGCCTACACGAGAGGTTTTCCTCGACCCGGTATCTCTCACCAGCAGGGCACTGCCCCTGCCAAGATGAGCTCTAAGCACCCAATTGGTCTCCTGGTGTGTGGTAGTGTGGAGCATGGGAGTGTGTGAGCAAGTATGGGAGGAGGATAGGACAAGGAAGAGGAAGGAAAAATCATGCTCAGTTTGTCACCTATTTCTTAGAATACTGCTTTAGCAATCACCTGGTGTTCATTGGAAGAACCATGGGAAACTTTCGAGCTGGCTGTTAGAATTCTCCTCCAAACAATGAGTGAATTCAATGTAACTATGCAGCCAGTGTCAAAACTGCTACCTTTAGGACTCAGACCTGAGAACCTCCTTGTCAGAGGCAATGCAGTGAAGTCAATTGAAGCCCTAAGCCACCTAAGCTAATCCATTATGTAGTGGGTTGTCATAATTGTTAAGGTATCAAAGAGGAAAAATACTGCATTGTTACCTACATTCAATTTCATTAACCTTCGCTTTATATTATGGATTTTTCAAAACGAAGGGAGATGAAGTAGGTTTGAATAAGCTCTTTAGAATTAAGGTATTAACAGATGAAAGTTCGTAATTGTCGTGGCAGAAGCCAAAAATATTAGAAGCACAATAAATGTAAAAAAATATCACAAGGTGTTCAGATTTCAGCCAAAAGAAAACAAGAAACAGAATTTTTAGGGGTATGCCAATGAAAACACACATTCACTTGAAGAAGGATGCGAATGAAGGATGGAATGTTGAAATTTTTGATAATTAACATTTTATCAATTGGCAACATCTTTGTAATTTTATTTTATTTTTCTTTATTTCTCATATTTTTGAATTTGGATTTTAAAAATACTGATTAATGGTCACAATAACAGTCATGAAAAGAATTATAAAATAATAAGTATAATAGTAATGGATCACAAAAAACTAATGCTTACCTGCTGTAGCTAACTGGACTGCTGTCCCTGTAGTTTCCCATACACAAAATTTCAAGCCAGCTTTTGTAGGTGGGCCACTTTCAGAAATACTTTGATCAGAAATGTGCTCTATGAATGATTTGGAAGATTTTAATTGTTTTTGGCTACCCTAATCATGAGAGAAATGAAATATTAAAAAAATAAAATAAAGAATCGCAGAGTGTTGTTGAGAGAAAAATTAATTAACACCTACCCCAGTAGAATTTTTGTTTTGATTTTTTTTATTGATAACAGGCAAAAACATCTGGGTTCTGGATGTTTTCCCGTACCCTGAGGATTTCTTTTTCAATTCTTTTGAAGTATATGGACTGGCTTGGGCACTTAAATGAGAACTCATTTGATATCGTAAAGGGGATGACTTTCTAACAGTTTCCCTGCAATGTAATTGAGATTCTATATGATCTTCAATATGAAAATAAAGTAAAAAAAAAAAAAAAAAAAAAAGAATTAAAGCAGATCATTATACAAAACAAAATTGACAATAAATATTAAATTTTACCATTCAAGACATTGGGAAATGGAAGAATATAAATACAAGATGTAATTAATTTTTATTTCTATGAAATGTAGAGGAATCTCTCTTAATGTCAACAAAGAAGTGAAAAAATGGCATTTCCAGATAAATATAGTTAGGAATTTGTTGCAATGTGTATGTGTGTATGCCCATGTGTGTGTTCCTGCACTTGCATCTCTGTCAAGTCTCAAAGACATGCATGAAATTTCAAATGTTACTTTTCATAAAATAACGTTTTATTGGCCACAATATTACAAATGTAGATCTAAATTTAATGTGAATTGGCAATAAAGATTTCAATATTTTGTAATCTACAAATTTGGGGGCCTATGCTGACAGATTTTTTGGTGTATTTAAAATGTGTGACACTTATAACCTTATATGTATTAATATGAATTTTTAAATACATGCATGCAGAGTATATCCATTATAATTTTTGTATGTGCATGCACACAGACACATGCATCAGAAATAATAAACTACAACATTGGAATCTTAGATCATACTTACAGGGGTATAACAGATTTTCCTTGGTTTCTGTCCACTGTTCCCTTTGTAAGTTTCATGTCTTTAAAATTTTCTTCCAACGCTTGCAGTTTTAAAATAAGAATTTTACTGTGACTAGGAGACATTTTTACCAAGCAAAAAAAATTATCAAGAGAATCACCACCAATCACAAGAAAACTTATTAATGGTAAAGATTTTGATGGTAGAGTAGATGGAGGAAACATGTCTGAAGAAAAAAGTATTGTAGTGTTTTACACAATTTTTATCTTGAAGTATACAACTTCAGTGCTTTCTTACCAAGTGTTTTCAATACTGATTCACATTCCCAAGAATTGCAATTGTAAAGAGCAATTCCTAAGTTACAGCATACAGCAATTAGAGCATTTGGGTACAATATGGACCTTAAAAAATGAAAACAAATACATTATCGTGATCTCAACAATTATTAATTTTAGATTTTAATTATAATTTCTTATTCTAATCAGTATTGTAGTGGACTAGATAGTCTGTGGATAGTATCTGCTCTGTGTGGAATTGTAGTTTCAAATACTGTAGATAATTTCATCTTGAGACAAATGTAACGAAATCAAATAAAATCCCCAGGTATAATTCCATCACCTAAATCATTATTTATCATGTTTTAATTGTTAATTAAAGTTAATCGTCAATTCCTTTATGCTAGATTGCCAACATTCCAACAGGGATATAATGCTTAGAAGAGGCAGTATATAACATCTATATTGAATTGCATCTAAATTTTGCCTTTCCCAATAAAAGCAATGAATATTATCAAGAGCAACTATTCACTGTCATTACATTGTCATGTTGTTTTCCTTTCCAATGTAAGTAACAAAGTGATTTTAAAATCTTGGAAACACATGCTCAATATTTCCTGCTCCTGTCACATGCCTAATATTTCTTCACTTTAAGTTTCTTTGACCAAATGCCTCTATCCAAAGCTGCTTGCAGCATTCCATTTTATACACTATCCTATTCTCTATTTTGTAATATTCCCTTACAATAAGGAAAATTAATTTAAATCTACTTCCCTGTACAAAAAGGAAAATGAAATTGTAAATTTGTGGGATAAAAAACATTGACAGAAACCTGAGCTGTATTGTGACTTGTCACTGCAGTTAGACAGCTATGGTAGAAGCAGGAATGGACAATCTTTAAATACTTGTATGTAAAAACTGTAATTTGGAGATTTTTAGAAATGAATTTTAGAGATGTATATAAATACATAGAAAAGGAGTATTTAAAAAAAACTCAAAATAAGTACTATAAATACAGATGAATAAGATAATGAGCATAGTTTCTTTTTGATTTTGCTAATGAATGGATCTCATTGAAACAAAAATAAAAGCTCTTTTTAGCAGTTTAATTTGAATTCTCTTCATTTTTAAATGATAAATCTAAATCATGAAAAACTCTGAACAGTTATTCTACATTAAAAAAACACATTTATTCGTTATAATTCTAGTTTATGATCATCTGTGCCATGACTGTTTTCCTTTGCAGGTTTTATACATTCACCAACAACAGATTTATTGTCTGGGGATATGTTTAGAAAACTAGTAATTTTAAATGGAAATTCCATTGATTTGAGTTAGACATATTTTTGATATTGTTTTATACTTGAAAGTGTATGTGTACAAAAATATTACCATACATTCAAAATATATATTACAGTTAATTATTGTTCAGAAATGATTGTTAGTTAGTGATTTATTGTAATTAACAATTACAATATATTGTAGCCATAAAAAACTTATAATACAAAATTATTGTGTTTACTGTATTTTGAGCATTTGAAATATTTTATATATGTATGTATTTTGCAATTCAAAATCTAATGTATTATGAGTGTGTATTTAAATGCTTATTTACAAAGTATTTTGGTGAAGTATTTAAATACTAAATTTAAAGTATTTTGCCCACCCCTGAGCAGAAGTTATAAAGAAGAGCACTCAAGCATCTCTAAACAAGTTCTATGCAGGATTGACACTTGTAGAAATGGTAGACTTATGAAGATGATGTCTACTAGACTCCTGGTCAAACTTGATGTAATTTACAAAGAATTTATTTTGACAGGTTTATATTGCTGTTTCCTGAATTTATCATTAATTAGTTTATTTTTTCTCTCTCTGTTTGTGGTTTTCTCTTTATAAGTTGACCTCCACTTTTTTCTACTTTTCATGGTCTTATGTTTTTCTTTATGTTACACATAATCTCATAATATAACAGAAAAGTTAAATGGGTAAATTTCAGTGACTTGGAAGATTTCTGTGACAAATTGTACACAAGAAAATTGATACAAAAGTTAGAAATGTAGGTATAAAATATCACAACCTTTATGATGAGAGAGATTCAGATGAATTATTCAGCACTGCTGAAAATATTTTAAATAAACAATTAAGATGTTTAATATTTTAGGAAAGTTGGAATTGTTTTGAACTCCCCTTGAATTATATTTAAAATATGAAGAAAATGAGGGGTACACAATTTCAGAAAGATTATACAATATTAAACCGCATAAGGTACAAGGATGTTAAGTTTTATAGAGTAGATTTTAGATACAATACCAGGAGTTGAAAAAACAACAAAAATTAAGGGGGTAGAAAAATATCACTACTTAGGTGTAATGTTCAATAAAAATGATACAAACGAAGAAGAAATAGAAAGAGGAAGTGTTTTGGGAAAGAATGTGAAGCTTTGTATGTACTTAATTTTGTGGAATAAAATTATTCGTAAAACCACCAAAAAACAGCTTTTCTTCACCTTAATAGACAGTAGCGCAAAATATAGGTCAGAAATATTGGAGGTACATGTGGAAACACTGGCCTCAGATTTACATTTTTGAAATAGATCTGTGGAAACAGCAAATTTGACAGAAAAACAATAATAATATACGAAATGAAATGAAAATAGAAAAATCATTATTTGATGAAATTGAGAGATAGTAGTTGACACTGGCAGAATGCCACAACAGAGAGAGACTCAAGATGAGCAAGAGAAGCAAGGAGTGAAGCCATGACAAATTCAATATGACATATGGAAAGAGAGAAATGCCTGGAGATTGAGAACAGATAAACTGCAACAGCTATACAACAACTCTGTTATTATCATTATTAACCAATATTCTACATAAATAATTATATAAGTAACCCTGTATGTGTGTATTAAAAAAGCACAAGCCCAGAGTACAATTGAGAATTTTTTCACATGTAAAGAGTAACTTTTTATTAAAAAAGTTACATTGAAATTTGTGGTTAAAAATGTTGGTACTTTTCTAGAGCTAATGGTGATTTGAGTTTTGACTTGGAACACAGTGAACATTTATCTTCCATTCTTTGTTGAAAGATCTCCCAGAAAAATGAATTCTGTTTGTGGCCAGATTTCATTTAAAGTGTCATTTGTTTTTTAATTTAAAAATCTCAGTTGATATAGCAACTATTTTATAAGAAACATGAAATATTTTATAATAAAAGTGTAATTTAAAACACAAAATTATTCATAATTATTTTGTTACATAAAAAGTTTTACACTCTTCATATGCGTATAAATGTATATCAGAAAGTTCTTCTTAAAAGCATAGACTTTTATGGCTGGAGTCAATAGATACTTCGCTGTCCAGGTAATGCTGCATCCTAGGCGTAGTTGCCAGCATTTCTGATGTCTCCTGCAAACTTCCTCAGGGCAAAATGTATCCCCTAGGCAGCCAAGCATCTATTTTATTCTTAATTAAATTGTTTCATTTATGTGCTAATCAACACATTAAACTTACTTAAGAGTTTGATCAGAACAACTTAAGAAACTGGAAATGCTTATATTTTCAGAGGTATCATCTCTCGCTTCCTTATTGAATAATTGCATTTCACGTTTAAATAAATAAACACCAAAAACAAAACATCCAATTTCTCCACATTCTGATTTTAATTCAACAGATTCATTTGAACGTTTTTGTTTGAGATAGTGATCTGAAAAAGAAAATTGTAAAAATTGCATAAGTAGTTTTCTTATTCATCAGAATTATGTAAATAATAATATTCTTGGTCACACATTATGAATACTATTAACTTCTTACCTGCCTCACCACATCCTAAACATTCTTCAGAAATTGAAAACGCTTTATTCACATTAACATTCATAAGACATTTAGGAATGTTATTCTCATTAAAACTGAATATGGAAACTATGCCTCCATTCGTTCCAAGCAATAAATACGGAGGACTATTAGCAAATGAACAATGAGTTATGGAGTACATCCCAATTTTTGGAGATTTATAAAGTAAATTCATAGTGAGAATATTCCAGACCTTAAAAAAATCCAGTTATACCTTTGAAGGAGTAAATTGATTAGAAATAAAATGTTCTCATAAATTTGACTATTACTTTCCAAAGAAACTACCTTAAAGTAACTGCTATCTTCTGTAGTAACTATTATCTCACAATTCCATGGTGAAAATGCACATAGATTTCCACTGCCAGAATTTGTTTCCACTGTCCCATGATGAGAAACATCAAAATTTTTGTCACTGTCTTCACTCCACTAAAGGAGAAACAAATTGTTCTTTCAGTAGATTCTTTTTAACTTTAAACATATGTATTACTAACAGAATAAATGGTCCTAGGGTCTACATATAATTTACTGCCAAAATTAAAAGATCTGTTTCAAATTCATAGAGCCTTGAGTGTGGTCAGAACAATAAGAGAATATCCATTTTGGAAAAAATCTTGTGAAAAGGTTTAAGGGCTAGTGTTATTCACTCTGCTGGACAGACAGTTTTGAAAAAAAAACAACACATTTTTATATGAAGGTCCTTCAAAATGCATTTATCTTTTAAAATCTTGATGTATGGATTTTTTTTTGAGCTCTGCATGTCTTTCTATCATGTCATAAAAAATAAATAAAAAAGTAGAATTATTTGATTTGCAACAAAGTTTTCCATTATCTTTAGAAATATGACATTGAAATAGCCACCTTTAATTTTAATGAATTAAAATATTCTCATTACCCCCCCCCCCATTGTCATAAGTAAGTAGAAAGTAGATAAAAAAGGAATTTATACTTCACTATAAAAAGCATAGCTTCACATTTGTTTCCTTGCAAAGGAATGTCATCTTAATGAAGCTGTCTTGAAAACATAAATAGTTATCTTAAAAAAATATAGGAAAATGTATAATTATAGTGACTCTTGTGGAAAATTTTTGTTTGAGTGTTGAATTATAAATTGTTTAGTTTAAATATTTCACAAATATTATATTGATGAAGAGTTAATTCAATTATTTGCTTTGATTATTCCAATAAAAGTATAAATTTATAGTTTAAATTACCTTTATTTTTATGATCAGTATTTCATTTTCCCTACACAATGCCAACCACTCATCATTCCAGCTAAAAGTACAATAGTCAACATATCCAGAATCAAAAGCAAAAGTCACTCCCACTGGAGATGCATTTCCTGAAAAATTCACAATGTCACTTTTCTTATCATGAATTTTGACAAATAACAAAGTCATTGGCAATCATACCATCAGTGCAATTACCACTACTGCTTATGCAGTTCACCTTCCATAAAACTATTTTGTCATCACTGCAGGTACATATGAAATTTTGATTTTTTGGTGACACTGCTAACGCATTAATTTTTCGCTTATGTGCAACAAGTGAAATTCTCTGTGAAAAATAACCAGAAGACTAACAATTACGAATTTTGTCCCTGTATATTTTAATGGTTTAGTATATTTCATACCGAGTCCAAAATAGAGTTTGGTTCCCAAATGTTCACTGTCTTTTGGTCACAAGTCACAGACACAATGAAATTCTTTATGAAAACTGGGGAACACTTGTCACTACAGTAATTATCTGGGCCCTCCCATGAGTCTGCAATGATTATATGCATTGCGTGTATTTCAAAACGATTTTTTTTTTAAATTCCCAAATTCAGACGCAAAATGAATATTTCCAGCACCGTTTATTAATCAACTGTAACGAAATCATTACATTGAAAATGGATAATCACAAGGCAAAAATTTTTCTTTGGAGACTATTTCTAACAGTCAATTGTCTAAAATGCAGTATTCTGCCAATTATTTCCTTACAAGTATTCGTTTATACACACGAAACCGTCTCGTCGTTGGTTGACATATCGTCTTAGCAACCAGATATTGATCAAGCGGACTGGAATAATAGTTTTTTGTCCGCTTAATATTGGCACCCACAGACCGAAATCCAAACATAAAAATTCATAGAGGAAATGGATTGATTCCGTTTTACGTTCTCGCAAAAATCCTCCATTTCTCGTACACATAAATAATACACGTAGTATAGAAAATATCACTACATAACGCTGCAAAAATTGATGTCGAGGTTTTGACTGACGTGCACGTTTTGAGATTTGTTAATAACGAAAAACTTCGTTCATAATACCCGGGCATTTGAAGATACATTGGCCCATTCCCGTCGTGAGTGGGGCGAAAAAAATATCTTTAACTTTCTCGTATACGTACGTATATATGGAGTAATAGTTATAGAAAACTTATTTGCATCGGTACACGAATTGCAAGTATGATTTTTCTGCATTGCTAACAAAATAGCAACTCGCTCTTACCATTACAAGCAAAAGGAGAGTTCAACAAAACGTGCGCATAGTGAAGCTACATTTACGTCTAGAAGCAAAACAAGGGACCATCTCTGCATTTGCTCAATGGATTAGGGAAACTGGACACAAACCTGATCGAAATGGGGGTCATTGACCCGGAAGCTGAAGTACATTATTTGTTACAAACATATTAAGTCTTTAAAAAAGTATACAATACAAATGTAAAGTAATTCATTATATATCACTGTTTTGATAAAATAAACATTATTTTTCTTTTTGATAAACAGTACAGTCTCTAATTGTATAGAAACATTTATGCAGCATAAAATATTTTACTTTTAACTTAAATTTGTGAACCGACTTTAATTGTTTAATGTCATCTGGCAGTGCGTTGTAAAGTAACGTACATGAATTGTTTGTGGATTTCTGATAGTGAGCTGTTGATACTGACACTTGATGAACGTGATATTTACGACGTGTGTTGTAATTATAAATATCAGTATTGCATGAAAATATGTTCCCACCATTAAGTAACTTTTGACAAATATTACAGATACATAAATATATAGGCAAGGCAGTGGTAAGATTCCAAGATCAATGAAGAGAGGCTTCCAAGGGTAACGCGGATGGCATTTTTTCATTATTCGAATAATTTTCTTTTGCAATCTATAGGTCTGAGTACTACATGATGAGTTTCCCCAGAATTTTATACCATATCTCAGGCGGGAATGTACATTTGCAAAATACACGCAACGAGCTGCATGAAGGCTGACAGAATTTGATAGAATTCTGAATGCGTAACATAATGAGCTTAATTTAGAGTTTAATTTTGTTATATGTACATTCCATTTGAGGTTTGACTGAATTGACAGACCTAGAACTTTTTTCCCCTGAACATCACCTAATTGCATATTATTAATTTTGAATGGAGCATGCGTTTGCTGATTTGAAAGGCAAAAATGCATTGAAGCTGTTTTTCCTTCGTTAACTATTAATTTGTTATTACAATACCAATTTGAAGGGGGAACATACTTCCTCAAGCCAACAATGCTTTGTAATTTTACTCATTTTATTCAAAATAAACACCATATAATTACAGGCATCATCTCATCCAAAGTTACATTATGAATATACTCGTACCCCCTTTGTTTTTTATTTCAAGCGGACATTTTTTTTAAAAAAATTCAAAGATATTAATGGAGTGTCCTAACTGAAATTACTTTCTCCCTATGACTTCGTGAAAACGGCTCTGTGACTACCTGCCTCCTCGGTTCAGCCTTGACCCACGAGCCCATTTTTCAGCTCAGCATCCAACGCGCACGTCATTTCGCCATCCCCGGCCCAATCCCCCCAATCCAATGTGCGTTGGCACAATGGCCCACCCCGTTGTCATCTAACACGCGACCCGCCCGGTGTTATAATCACACACATACAGTACTTGGCCGCATAATTATAACCACTTCTGAATTTCATTACTATTAAACTTATTGTTTTCTATTGTTCTGAGGCATATGTCTATGGACGCCTGTGCTCACAGTTACTATATTATATAGATGTTATAGATACACTTCCATATATTGCCGCTCATATTATTAGGGGACCAAAAAATTAAGAAATGTAAAAAAAAAAAAACAAAAAAAAAAAAAAACAACCTATTTTAGGAACCTATCAGTAGCAGCAGGGATAAAGCTGGTAGAAAACCGAGAAGCTAGCCTGGACTGAAGAGTTAGAAAAGTAACTCAACAACAGTTTATTTACCTAAAGTGTACAACCAAAGAAAATACCCGCTGAGTCTACATAGTAAAAAAGTGTCCTGAAAGTTCCTGCTACGCGATACACCTACTCTCTGCTGGCGGTGTGTACAGAATATAACTTAAAACTAGTTATAAAATTACTCTTTAGGCTTTCTTAGTTTTCACTATATTTTTTATATATTGCAAAAGTTCTTGATATTGTTCTTTTGTCTTATTTTTCTTGTTTTATTTCATTCACTCTCTTATTCATTCTTAACACTTCAGTGGTCGCGTGGATTACTATTGTAATCCAATGTTATTTATTTTCTGTTTACAGCGAGAGTTGAAAAACTTTTGGCATGGACTTTTCAGTAAGTATCTTCCGTAAAAGGCCAAAGAAATTTTATTATAGCAATATATAACCGAAGTGATAACTGCTGCACAAGTGATAATCGCCGGAAACAGTTTGGATTACAAAAGATCACTCGCGGTTGTTACTGAGCTAAGCTGACATCATGAATATCGCTGCAATCGATGCTCTGAATGTTTATGCAAAGAAGAGTGTTGACTAGATGGAGATTTCTAAAGGATCTTGCATTGTTCTTTATGAAACCAAAAATAAAAAGGAAGATCGAGAGAAATTATGTGCCGACAGCATTAAGATCACGCGGGCCACTACTACTGGGAATAAGAGAAGGGACCGAGGGGTCAGCGAAGTCACCAAAGGGCAACATGGGGAATTGTTATGACTGTGGACGTCAACAAAACAGGAACACTCGACAGTACTACGTACCACAGGCGGTGTGCCACATTAAGAAAATCTGTGAGATGTTCATCTGACGTTGACATTAAAACACATTCACAGTAGAGGCTCCAGAAGTTTAAACAACTTTGTCAAATTTCTTTATGTAATAATTAATGCAAAGTATATCAAGTGCACAAAACAGATAGAGCTCACGACTTTTCGAATACAAATATCTGCTCCCATGTATTTGAGTAAGTACATATGCTTAAAGTCATAATACATATATTTTTGCATTGCATTTCATAGTCTGTAATATGTTAACATTCTAATAAATTTAATACTATTTTGTAACTGTTCAGTGTTTTAGATAACATTCTGCGTACGTATTTGAATTAAAAGACGGATTTGTTCATAAAATCTTGTTATTAAGAAATTAAAAAAAAAAAAAAAAAAAAGAATTACACTTGTAATTTACGCGACCTCTCGCGTTCCAATATTGTGCGCGATCACTGAAGGGTTAAATTAAATTTACAAACACATTCACTCTTTTAAATTTCCCTCTCCAGTTGTCCTGGAGATGGGGGAGTTTATTCATATTTAGGGATACATTGGGCTGCTGGCGAATAGGTTTTTGCAGCGGGGAAAGGGCATATCTTATACTGACTGCTTAATTTAAACTTATTTTAATTAAAAAACTAATTTATAAGGCCACTTTGGACCATGATTAGTTAACCATTAGGTTTTTTCTTGAAATTTTCTTACGAATTCTTAATATTATTTGTCATTTCTTGTTTTCTTTAATTTTTCATTCACACTCTCATTCATTCTTAATGCTATATTTACAAAAACAGTCACTCACTAATTCTTACATCACTTCAGAATTTGCACACGTTCACTTTGTTCGCCCGCCGACTTCACTCAAGCGTCCGTGGCGCCGTGACGTCTCCGATTCCAGGCGACCCCCGCGCGTTTACATCCAGTTTACATGAACTAATTGTAATGATGCAGTAAAACCCGGCAGTTTTCCAGAAAAATTCTTATTGCAGGTCCCTGATGCCAAAAAAAAAAAAAAAAAAAAAAAAAAAAAAAAAAAAAAAAAAAAAAAAAGTGTATAACTTTTATTCGTGTTTGCAGTAAAATTACTTCCTCTAGCACTGGTCAAAATCAACGTTTTAAGGATCCATGATACATAAAAATTTAATTTACGCGAAACGTCTGTCCATCTGCTAAACCGTGCATGTTTCGTTTTCTTTTAATTATCCGAATCTTCGAAAATTGCAAAAATTTTAAATTTCTTCGGTGTCAACCTACAGCTAGAATATTAAATGAATTTTACTTTTTCGTCTTACTTCGTAAGAAGAGAAAGTATTGAAATCGTGTGGCGGCCGATTTTTCGACAGAAAAACTTTTTATTACCATGCCTTGGAAAAGAAGTTGATAAATCTTGTTCCTGTATGTAGTAAATTACTTCCTCTAGTACATTGTGTAGTCAGAACAAATGATATAATCTTCTATTCTATATTATTTGGTCAGAATCCATATTTAACGGGTCTTTGATTTAGAAAAATCAATTGACGGTAAAACGTGTCTATCTATGGTCAGCGCTAGCACCTAAACCATTCAGATGATTTTCTCCAAAATTTATCTCTATCGATTTGAACGACCTTGCGGACCAGCAAATTTGAAACACGTAAATAACAGAGTACTGTACATGAAGCCTGAAACATTTTCAAAATTTACTGAAAAATAGCTTTCTAACACTAAATTTAGCAGTTTTGATGTTAAGACTAAATATGAATAGTATTATTCAAAATTATATATTACATAACAAAACAAATATGGCGTTCGCGTTCAATAAAAACAGTTTTGAACAGCCAAAACATAGGAAACTTATACAGAAAGTATGTTTTTTCTGGGATGGTCGAGCGACCAGTGTTACTACTTAAAATGGATTGAAACTCAAATATTACGGAAGCTATTTGATATTAAAAAATGAAATTTTTGTGGAACCCCTATTCTATTTGGTCGCAATAGTCTTGTAGCCAGTATTTAAACATAATTTAATATAAGGTCACCCAGAGATACTCCAGGAATCGTAAGTTCTGTGATATTTTGGCGGTTGTAGGAAATAAACATAAGAAAGAAAGTGAAACATACTTGTTCCTTTATTAATGGACAACACTATAAACAAAACAAAAAAGCCGAAAGTAGTTGACGCATTAAAAAAAAATGTCTGGATTCTTTAGCCATGGTAATATTCGGATACGTGAAATGAAATATAATATAAAGAATAAATAAATAAAATTGATACTTTGTAACATAACCATTGTTGTCAATGACATACTGCAATCGCTTTAACATTGAATCAATAATTATTTTCAGGTACTGTTGTCCAATTTGTGTCCATTCTTCCTTAATTCTCTCTTGCAGATGGGACTTTGACGTAATTGGGATTCTCCTGACTGTACATTCCGATTCATGCCATAAATTCTCGATTTGAGGTCAGAAGACTGAAGCGGCGTTTCCAGCACTATTGAACAATTGTAAAACAACCATTCTCGCACTAAATACGATTTGTTTCGGATCGTTTTCTTGATAAAATATAAACGAGTTCCTGATGTGTGGCAAAAGATTTGTGTAAATTCTCTTTCAGTGTTGAGATACTGATGTTTGTCCATTGTGTTTTTAATGAACACCAGCTCCCCCATGTCAGCAGCAGACATGCAGCCCCACACCATTATGTGTCCACCTCCGTGTTTCACGGTTGACACTTCGTTTTTAAGACGCAATTCTGTATTTAGTTTACGCAATATTATTTTCCTATCTTTACTGCCAAAGATATTTAACCTTTTCTCATCTACAATAATTACCTCACGCCACCACTCGTCTAATTTTGTCACATATTTCTTTGCAAACTGAAGTCGTTTAGCTCTATTCCCAGCACGGATAAAGGTTTTCTTCCTGGCCGCTCTGCCATGAAATCCAGCATTTCTAATTACTCTGCGCACTGTTTCGGGGTGCACAGACGTCCCTGACGCTTCGCGTAGTTCCGCTGCCAGCTGGACGGCACTCACCTTCGGATTTTTTCATATTCTCCTCAGAATTGCACGCTGCTCTCTTTCGCGGATCTTCTTACGTTGTCCTCGTTGCGGTTTAGAGTCAATCATGTCTTCTCAAATCGGTTAATGATATCGTGCACCGTGCTCTTGATCATGAGACAAAGATTTGTGATTGCTCTGCAGAAGCGTACCTTTGCGTGGTGGAAAACCACAAGGTGCCTCTGCTCTATCGTCGAGTTCTTTCCCTTGCACCCCATTGCTAGAGGTGTATTCAGGCGGAAATGTTTACAGTGACTGCATAGTTTCTTTTGGTCAAGGTGGGCGATGGTGTGCTTATCGTGCTATCCGAGAGAGTGGCGAGGGGTTAACAGGACATTTTTACATTACGTGCCCGAATATTAATGTGACTTCGTGTTCTTGCATAATTACACATTCGTGTTTATGAAACGTTTATTCTGCATTAGAAACATTTTCTTTGGACTATTCTGTTTTCTAATAATACACAGTTCCTATGTATTTCCTCACAAGTAACTTCCGCGCACGTGCGAAAAACCACAGTCAAACAAGAAACGCTTTCTGTATTTGTGGCTGTCCGAATATTAATGCTAGCCACTGTATATACGGATTAATATACCTAGTAAAGGGAAAGTTATACAATGCTACGGAAAATAAATTTCAACGAAAATACACGTTTTATGGTCCCCTGATATCGAAAAAGTATTTATTTTAAAACGCCCGAGTCTCTGACCACCAATAGCGCCCAAACCCTACGTAGGATTTTTTCAAAATTGAAGAAACTCCTGTCCATTTGGCTCGAGTCGAAACTTTGAGATTTTGAAAAACACTCTTTAAAATTTGGGGGTACTTTACATGAAGTCCCTGGGTTATTTTTAATATTCTCTCAAAAATGGCTCCCGTTTTTTCTTGGAAGAATTGGAGTACACTTATAATAGTGACATAGGTCCGGTTTTCACGGTTTACTCTCAAAATTTTTAAAAATTTCGAAAGTTCGAATTTTTTTCAGGTGTCTTCCTACAAAATTCACGATAAATTTTTTTCAAATGAAATAAGTTGTCCATCATTACTACTTTTATTAAGGTCATCCACATTTATCTGAAACTTTTAGTAGTTTTCACAAATTTTGCAATTTTAAAAAACAATAAAAATAAGATTTTCTCAAAAACAGCTCCAAATTTCTTGAACGGCTAGTGCTAATTGCACTCTTTAATATAATGTCAAGCTCATATTGGGGAATTTTTTTTTTTTTTAATTACTCAACTGTAATTTTTTGAAAGCTCTCACACTTTGTAAACCCTATTGTATTTGTAAGTTAAAGTGCTTGAAATGTCACCAAATTAAGTTTTTCAAAAATTTTTTTTGTGGAAAAGAGCTTCAAATTTCGAATCTACAGAAACACTTGAATACATTTTTTTTTCTAATGCTTAACATTGTTGAAAGAAAATTGCCATTTAGGATTAGGTTTTACTGCTCTTTAATATTCTTGAAATAATATTTCCATTCTGCTATTAGAAAACTGGAAAATTATGAAAAAGTCAAAAAAAATGTACTTTGGGCGGCAATAGATGGAATCATGCAAGTGTGTGTATGTAGCAAACCCGAATAGCAACCAAAGGAAATAAAAAAACTAATACGAGAAAATCTGTACCATTAGTAGCACCACTAGTTATTGTTATCTTACTCCTGTAGCATATGCAGCCTGCAAACCTTTGTAAAGCAGCTCAAGGTGCCTCTTGCAGGGAGCTAGTAACAATTTGTAATTTGATTTTTGTTTCGTCTTTGTGAGTCCATATGTCAGTGAGACTATTTGACCCTGATATCATGTAACCTATACAATTTTTCTGCACTGTAAGGAATGGAGTATATGATGCTAGAGAATCAATGTGCCATTATGTAATATTAATTCTATGTTATTTTATAATCTTATTCTATTTGTACTGGCTGACTCTTCCTACTCTTGTAGTTAATGAATATAATTTTAATATATATAAGTAATTAGTCTAGCGACATTCCAAACCTTACCAGCTATTTAACTTGAAGTCTCAAAATCCTTGAGAATTGAAATATCGTTTGATACTAAACATCAAACATGTATTTCTTATATTAGCGTGAATTTGACAATGTAGATGTTTCAAAATCTGGATGGCCAATGGTCATAACTTCTTCACAATTGTAAAATAAAACATGTTAATTGTATACATGTATTGTTGATTCTTTTCTAAATTTCTATTTTTTTACTTAAATTTATTTGTTCTTAAAGTAGTTGAAATACATAATTGAAAATAATCTTGATTACAGCTTTCATGAGTTTCCAAGGTGGCTCAAGTTTGACAAAATTGAAAATTTTGATAATTTCAACTTTAAAAATAAAAATGTCATAACTGAAGGCCATAACTTTGCTGACCAATCTGACAAAGAGTAAGGATTATGATACGATTTGAAAAGAATGTGAAAGAACTGTTAATGAATCAAAAGCCATGAACAAGAGTGAGACAGGAGGAAAATCAGATGTCACAGGAGGTTTCTTAGGTGGTGTCAGATGAAAGACCAAGAATGCAAATTGAACGCATAAAACTTTCAGAGGATCTCAGTCAGAGGACACTACAGTAAAGATGAAGAGGGTAGTGACAAAAACCATAGCCTTGATGATTATAAAGAGCAAGAAAACAGTGATAGCTCAGGTAATAAATTTTAACACCTAATGAAGATGACAATTTTAAATTTTATTTTGACGGTACAGTAAGAATTAGTTAAAAAAAATTTTAAATGCTCAGGAGGCCTCTAAAATTATGAGAGTATCTTATACTTGGGTAAATACAATATCAACATTAATAATCAAGATCCATGATTAATTATTGAAGTTTCCAAGAAATCTCTGGGTTATTTAAACATTCACATCACATTAAGAAAAAGTCCACAAATATAATTTGCAAATACTTTTAATAGCAACAGCATTTCAGTCATACAATTTATAAATAAACTTGCTTAAAAATAAATAACTCCCACACACAATTATGTGGAATATTGTGGGAATACTGTGCATATGCACAATTGCATTTAAATTACATTAACATGCACAAAGTGATTCAACATGATAAAATATGTAACAGCTTGGAATACTTTGTACAGACTGCCACTACTCAAGCATAACACTGATAACTGAGGGCAAGCAAAAATAGAATCAATTATCTACATCACGAGGTTTCATGACTTAAGGAGAAAAAATAAACAAAAATTCTTGGCAATGGGCAATAAATACACAAGCACTTATTTTAGAAAATGTTTACATAAAGTACAAAGAGTCAAAAACATTGTACTTGAAAATCGGTCAGTAGCTCACTGATAGCATGTTCGGGATAAAGTTAAAGAATAAAAGAAAGGAAAAAGAACTGAAATACAATCTCTACCACTAATACATTATTACTGCGACAAATCACTCACACCACAGAAGGTTGAGCACACATATCCATCACCATTCCAATCAACATATACACACAGTCTTGCAGATTCTGTCTCAGTCAAACAATTCAAAGTACACCTACTTCTGTTCGAGATTCTTGCATGGGTGCATGATTAGAGATCTCTGACACACACAGTAAATGATTTTATGGATTAACACCAGAAAACTGTGTTACATTGCAGCATCTGGATTGTCATTTGATTGTTTTTTGCTAGGAGAGCAACCATGGATGATAACGAATCGACTCCTTACTACGATCACCATAATCATATGTAACTTCTTCTCCTGGAGATATATCTTCTCGTGCTATCAGTACTAATCTTGGCCGACTTTTAATTTCCAACGTCTTAGTTTGTAGATTGCCATTACGGCTATGGTTGACCAAGCGACCCAATCGACCACTCTCTGATGTTGCGTCCACACTGAAAAAGGAGTCATTAACATCTATAACTTTAAAGCAAGTGTAGATAAACAAATGGAATTCTACATACATTAAATATGAATCATGGAACTACAAACATCTCTTTATTATGTTTTGTTTCTGAGTTCATCAACTGCCATGGCAATCAGCCTCATAAGTGTAGAGAATGTGTTATCTCAGGAGGCAGTGATTTTCTTCCCTGCTAGCTTGTGAGTTGACCAACCCTTGTGTTGGCAGGTGGTACCCCCACCCGTGTAACACTGCCCCAACCAGGACAGGCACAAATCTCTGAACTAGTCTTCAAAAATTTGTGATGCAGGGCCGAATTCATAGTCGTCTCTTACACTGAGTGCTCCTTTAAGTGGACGAATTGTATTCATAAACAGTCCTTGAGTGAAGTCTTAAGAGAGCCCTCATTCCTATAAGCGAGGCAGCCTGCCCACTTAAGTGTCCCTTATGGCTCCCTTGCAATGTCAGTCTTAACCAGTTTAGGTTATACTTTTACGCAACGACTATTGAATTTCTTTTGTTAGTGTTCATATATTGTAGGCAGTTAAAACCTATCATTTGTGAAATGTGTTATGGAAAACAACTTCAAAGATTATTTTGAGATTTATACTCAACATATCCTGCGAAATTCATAGAGATATATCGGAGATATGAGCAACCCATTGGAAATGTAGAATGATGAACAAATCCAAAAGTGGTTTATTTTCCACAAAACTACTGTACTGCATACACTTGTGCCGATGATCGACAATGACTAAAAGAGGATTGCTAATTTCCTCTTATTAAAAGTTCTCGTTGCATTACGATGTTATACAATTTCATCCTCTCAGGATTGTTTCCAATTTTTTAACTTTTATTCATTTCTGATTTATAAGACCTATTATACATAATTATGAATTTTGCAATATGAATAACAAGTGAAGTAATTCAAATTGTTGTAAAATGGAATTTATGTTAATACTATATGGGGGTAGACATTTTCAATTACATGAAATGTTAATAATCCATTACCAATATTGGCAGACATGTTACCATGCTATATTGGCAGGCCATAAACCATACAATATTGGCAGTCAAGTTCATACCAAGTTAGCATACCACCACTTCATGTTCATTAGTTATACTAGAGCGTAAGTCAACGTTGAGGAATCAATTGAAACTGATGTTAAGTATTAAATTACAATCGAATAATGCACATAAATAATGTGTAGAAAATGCACAAGATATCGCAGAGATTCATTAAAATTGTGATACGAGGTTCATGGATTATATTTTTTACCAAACATTTCTTATTATTAGCGATTAGTAATAAATACATTTTTAAAATATTCACATGATACCGGTGTCAAATAGTCATAGAAATTATATGAGAATCGTAGATTATATTGTTACAAATCTGCTTGTTATTAGTGATTGGTAGTAATCACATTAGTATAATATACCAACATCAAAACATTTTGTTTTATCTGTATGAGGGAGTAGAAGTATTTCGTCGTGCGTGTGACATCAACTCTACATTAGAGTGTCCGCCCCGTGTTAAATTGAACTCCCTTTGTACAAGATGAAGTGTGTGTGTAAACTTGGTTGCCAAGAACTTCGAAACAGCTGCCGCCAATGCCATGCTGCCACATTTCCATTCCGCTTAAGGGGACACTCATTCCGCGGGCCATAAGGAATATCTATGAATTAAGAGTGCTTATAAGTGACCACTTTTTTGAGAAAGCACTTCTCACTTAAGGGTTTGCTTATCCTGTAAGTGACGACTATGAATTCGGGCCGCAGTGGTGCAAGCGTATGTATGTGTAAGGGGAAAGGTTAGGACAAGGATGGGAAAGGAACGATCGTATGCCCAGTCTATGATCTGTTTATTAAGATACTGCTCTGGCATTCTCCAGACATTGTTAGGAGAAACAACAAAACTACTCAGCACAGTAGCCAGCCTTTAGAATTCAATAGAGAACAAGTGAATTTGATCACAGTCAGGACTTATATCCTAAGACAGCAGTCTCCATGGGTCACATCCGATGCTTAACAGAATTCTATGTGGCCTGCCAAACCACAGTATATCGTAATTCAATTTAATCATAACACAGGTTGTAACATTTTATTGCAAAATATAAGAGCCTGGTTACACACTCTTTGATTCACATACCAGCCGTTTTGTTTGGAAATAGTTTCAGAACTGAAATTGCAGTTCAAAAAGAGATAATAAATAAATTAACAATGGAATTTATAATAAAACATTCCAGGGGGTGAGGCAGAGGGACATTTCAGAAGTCAAAGAACACATCAAAGAGTACAGGAAATCCTACAATTCTATAGTAAATAATGATTATAAAATTTGCACATGCCTGCTCCTTCAACCACATCCATATTTAACTGCCTCCAGAAGTTTAATGAATTGGAATCAATCATACACTTAAAGGGTGTCTACAAAAGGCAGTTTGTCAGTTTCAACCTTTTTCTTATCACTTTAAGAGAAATGTTTATTGAAAAAATTGTCAAAATATTTAATAAGTCAAACTTTGTTGTTCTCTTAAGACATGAATTGTTAAGAATATCTCATTTTCTACACCAATGGCAAAATCTAAGAAAAGTACTTATTTGCAAACAAATTCCAGGAACTTTTTACAACTGAACTAGCAGGAGTGGAGGAGACCAAATGCTATTTTGGATGTTTTTAGTTTCGATTTAGATTTTTATGTCTAATTCGATGAAATTAAAATTATGCAGACTCCCGTGAAACCAAATGTTTTTCTACAGCTGGTTCTAAGTATATTATCAAGAAATTACAATACTTACAGCCCCAAAACTGAAACGTATCTTTGACCACATAACGTGTGTAACTAAAATTCCAATTTTTGCAAAAAGAGCAAGTGTTACATCAATTTTTATGAGGAAAGGGATGACAAATAAAACAGGGGAAACAAAGTATTGTCTAATTAATCTGAAGAACACAGAAACTAGCTAATGGAAATAATAATATTCCTCAACAAAAATAGGACCTCATGAATACTATGAAAGTCAACATGAATATCAACAAACAAATTTTGAATTTGCTGAGCCATGACGAGAGTAGTACAGAATGTGGTCATCTTGTTGAAATTTTTAAACTTTCAGATAATAAATGGTGGATAAAATGCAGAATCCAAGTGACCTCTAAGAAAGCCACTGATAGCAGGCTGATGATAAAAAAAGAATGCACAAGGAGATGGCTCGACACAACTACCAATCTCATATTGTTTAAATAGAATAGTTTAGAACTTGAAAATAGCTACTAAGTATGTGTCAATTGTATATGAATGCAAAAAATTTTGGAAGATGGAAAACCAAACTTTATAACACAAAATACAACTTCCTTTAGTTTCAAAGTACACTACATGAACTCACATTATACAATGCAAACAAATTCACATTACACAATACGTAAATTCAGCCTAATGAGATATATATTACCAGCTAAGCTTCAATATTACATAAATAAATTTATATTCGGCATAGAATATCTGTATCGTATCTTACCAATACTGGGTGTTTCGATGGCGGAAATAATACATATAACATCCTGTATTTTGGTCCTGAGCATACATGCGTTCACGGACTTTGGCTTCAGTCATATCAATAAGTTCTCCAGCATATTCTACAACAAACTCTCCTTTACAGAAGAACCGAGTGGCCACAATACCTCTCCCTTTGCCCTCGAAGTTATGAACCTGAAAAAGGAAAATTAAAATATAATCAAGAAATCAGAGGTTCAACCATAATTGTTTCGTCAGGCTGACTGCTAGGCACATGAATTACTTTTCCTGAACGTTTTGAAAATTGATTCTGAACTAAATTATGAATTTTTCTACTCATGGATCTCACCAGCCTTTTCTCAGTTAAATTCAGTTTAAATTTTCAATTTCATTCTTCAGAATTTTTGTAACAGGAAACAAAAGATTGAACAAGTCATTGTAGAGTATTCAGGAACACATTACAGGAGTGTCCTTTTTGCATCACCACTAAATATTAAAAACCTGGTAGAAATCCAGAAACTTATCCTACTTTATTACCTATTACCTACTTTATTACCATCTTACCAGGCTAGAACTTTCATATCTTTTAGCAGCCTGTGGTACAGGAATAAAACTGTTCATTGTAATAAAAACTGGTTACAAATTAAAAGAATAAACCCTAAGTTTTAACTCAATATTGCTAAAGAAGGCTTTCGTTACTAATTGTTCTCTGGACTACTTCCCTTATGGCATTTCAGCCAGTAATGTGCAAGAAATTAGTTCATACAAACCAGTCAAATTATGCAAAATAATCCCTTTTTCATTACGACCTTCTAAGAAGTGGCAATTACTGCTTCTGCTTACAAAGATACCTGATATAATTTTACAGAATACTACACAGGACGATCACTTAATCTATTTGCAATGTAACATCAACACATTCTTTCCTTCCACTTAAGTTTTATTTTTTACATTACCAGCCATTAACCTGCACTTTCCTGAATTTCCCTGTTTTCCCAGAAATCTATCACCCTGTAATTTGATGAACAAAAATATACAAGCAAAATCCAAAATGGATGTAATTAACTTCATTTAAACTAATGATTTTTGTTTTGCATTGAAGGCCTCCTTTTGACATTGTGAGGACTAATGTAGTGCATATTACTTGAAAGTTTTTTCGTATCATTTGGATTTTTTATTTTCACTCCTGCGAGTTGACAAAATTAATTTGGCAAGGAAAGCTAAGGGTGTGATTCAATGAAGTCAGAAAAGGAGAATCATTTCCGTTTAAAAAACTAGTGTTCAATTAGATGAGGAAATGTCCAAAGGAGGAAATCGCAAATTGGAATTTTTTGCTTAAGATTTGTTAATAGCACTATTATGTTGTGGGGTATTTTAATTGAGAAACAGAGGTATCTACGGTATAGCAGACATGGCAAGTACCATGGATGCCACTCACAAGGGGCGGTATTTAGAGTATATCCATTAAAACCAATAACAACCATCCTAATATGAAGTAGCCTGGCAGGCACAAATTCTATGCTTGCCATGGGTGCCTGAATACTTAGATATACTTCTAGGTTTAGATATATATTGTTGAGTGTTTCACAATTTAGAAGACAGTGTTGCAATAGGAATTTGTTTGAAACATGTTTTATTTCATGGTCCACGAAAAAAATACACATACAGGAGAAAACCTTCCATTCCCTTCCAGCTACTGAAGAAAAAGAAGTAACATGCTCAACAGGTTTAATACATCACAACTGCATGAATTGTTAGCATTGAAAGCAATGATGTCATGATTACCTCCAAGCCCTCTTCACAATCGGCTAAAACAGCAGCTTCCATGCGATGTTGCTTCTCCTGTAACACAGTACGTTTTGTTTTGCGTTCACTTCGACGGACAGGAAAGTACTCTGAAAGCTCGTGATTGCCATTTTGTTTCGCACAACAAGCTGGCTTAGGAACACACACTTGCTGGTTGCCAGCCTGACTCGGATTTAACCTACAATACACAGAACAAACATTTCGATAGAAGGCATGGAAAATAATTATCAAATCACTCCACCAATTTTAAAACTGATAAGGATTTAGGATTGAGAATTTATCAACACTACTAGGGGATACCACCCATGACACATATTTATGATGTGCAATTCTATCAGTCAAAGTTGTAATCCAATTTGAACTACAATAATGATGCCAAACTTGTATTTAAACAAATTCAACATTTACATTGGTAATGTAGACTTAATTCCTAAATGATAAAATCTTACCTCTGACGAGACTTGCCAGACTTCTTAGGGGTGTATGTGATTCGCAACTGCTGTAATGCTGATGATGGAGACTGGATAACTTGTGTATTATGTTGGATTTTGTGAGGAGTAGTTTTGCCATCATTGGCTTTGACAATCTCTACTATTTCTATCTCGTGGGCACTAGAGACAGCACTTTCGCAATATGATGGCTCCTTTTCTTTCTCTGGAGCATCGGGAGACGGTACGGGATGAAAATAATGAGTGATAAGTTCTTTTTCTGGTACTATTGGGCTTGCGTGGGACAGCCGTCCATTCACTCCCCGTGAAAATTTTATGTCCTTTGGAGACTTACACGATTGATCTTTGTCTGAATTTGCCACTTCACTTTTAACGCGAGATTTTGTTCCCTTTCTTCGTCCTAGAACATTAATGAGAATAAAAAAATATTGCCTACTACCATAAACTATATGCGCGTCGTAAAAATTACATATATTATTTAACAAACATAAAAATTCAAGAAAGTATTTAAGATATAATGTTTTTATTTTGACTAATTATACTTACCTCGCGCCATAATCGTCTGAGATGTGAAAACAAACACACAAACGAATCAAAATTATCATTGACAGACCGTGACTGTTTTGAAACTACACTGACTTAAAACACCAAATGAAAGAAAATACAGCGAGGTGAACTACAACGTCGACCGTGAACATTGTAAAGAAACATCTAAACATCCAAAGCAATCCATAACACGTGTAAAAGTTACCATTTATGTTTATTAAAAATAACCGACGACACGTTATGAAACATAAGTCTAAACCCTGCCAAGCGAAGACTCGCTATCTGATTGGTTGAGCAGAAGACTGTGAAGCGCTCATTGAGAAAACAAAGCGATAGATTTCCGACAGTAAGGCAGAGATATTTTGAAACTTTTAGCGCTATCTATTAACGCGGTTAAACATTTACATTTCTAAATATTTGAAATATATTATAGTTATTGCACTTGTCATATTTTGATGTTATTTTAGGGATAATTTATAGGCAGCAAATGATTTTACGTTCAAGTGTTGAATCATGCATGCTTTTCAGACCTGTGGCTACACTATAGACACCTGTTGGTTTAATGTAAAAACTAGATGTGATACAATAGGGGCTGACATCTATTCATTGTACACTCATTACCATTTGCAGGGAATGCTGGGAATCGAAACAAGATGGCGGGAGGCAGCATTGAATAAAAGAGTGTAGAAAGTCCGCGCTCTGACAAAATGCCTCGTCCGAAAAGAAGTGTGAGTATATTGTTGTGCCCGTTAACAGTATATTTGCCGGAGATTTGTATGCTTCGTGTCATCTGTAAATTATTGCCATAGTTGTCAGTGACGAGGCATATTCATCCTTCGGGTGAGATATGTAATTTTTATGTGCTGTGTGTATGCAATGGAGGCAACTAGAAGCCTGTTTGATGGATTTCCTAGCGAAGAAGCGATAGTAATGAATTCCACATTCGTTTAATGGTGTCAAAATATGCGTGCTTATGTTTATATATGAAGTGTGCGAATCAAGATCTGCATTTCTTTGCGATGCCTTTGTTTTCCCATGTCTTGTAAAAGGAAAAAAAAAATTCTTCTATTCTCATTAATGTAGTCTGGGCTTGAAAGTACTGATTGTTTGTTGCAAACTACAACAAATATTTTTAAATGCATGAGTTTTGTAATTAAAAAAACCAGAAAATATGTAGAAAAGTATTTTTTTTGTTGTAAAAAATGTTATGTCAGAATTGTATTGGTTAGTTTGTTTTCATGTTTTTGTTACAGTCCTTGTTGAACATTTGTTGCAGAGAATTTGGATAGTAACTTACATTTGTATCTGTTACATGTGAAACCTAAAGAAAGCTCAAGAATTAATTAAATTTTTTATGTAAAGAAGATATTGTTTTTGTGAGGTTATATTTCTTCTCCTTATTTTGTTTTTTCAGAATTTGAAATCTTGAGTTTTTGTTTGTTGCTGAACATCTCATATACTTAATAAGCATTTATATTAATTTGTATTTAAATTCATTCAATCAGTATTTAATTACAATTTCATTAGAGATAAAACTTTTTGTGGATAGTTTCTTTATTAATTCAATAAATAGGGAGATTTGATTGCACCTTTTTCTTGAAAGGTTTTGTTTTAAAAAATATTACTAGTTTTTATTTGTGTGATTGGGTTATAAAGAATGTTACTAAATTACAGGTTACAAAGAAGGTAGCATATCCTGATATGAGTGATAATGAGAATATGTCGGGTGGTTCAGACAGTGATTTTGATGACGATGAAGACCCCGATAAAATTGAAGTTCCAGGTAAAGTGATTTTTCATAATAGTATGATGTTGAATATTTAATTCCTTTTTGCAGAAACTTCATTGCATTGAAATACTGTTTCTAGATTATCAGTGTTTTTTCAGAGCTTGAATTCACTATTTCAGTAAGAAATGCTCTTACTTCATGTATGAAATAGAATTTTTTTTTTCTCCGTTGAATATTATGTGCAGTATTTCAAAGGAACTGTAGAAGTTAAAATCCACTCCCATTTTCTCTAGGAAATTTTTTTGAAGAATGTAAAATATATTATGTTTTCAAGAGGGAAAAAAATATATTTCTGGAATCACAAGCATGCTGGGATAGGTTTATAATTTTATTTAGTTCTAGAATGTTTGAAAGATGTGAGGAAAGAACTTCTTACATTTTCATCATGTTTATTTGCAAAGATTGTATCTGCCTATTTGTTGCAAGTTTTGTTAGTTAATTTTTAACCATAGGAGGCAATGAATCATTGGGTGATTTATTTGTGATTATTGGGTATGTTAAAAGAAAGGAAAATATGAGATCATTAACTGTATTCATCCAATACAAACTGTGAAAAATGAAAAAAATTACAGGCAGAGAAATTTATATTACAGCATTATAAATTTGTTTCCTCCTGCATTATTATCTCCACATCATTGCTGAAGAATGTATGATGCTAGAAATGTTTCTGTGCTGTGCACATCGTCAGAATTATATTGGTGGTTATTTTATGATGTACAATAAATTAAAATAATTGGAAAAAAAAACAACATACAATTTCCAGAGTATATAAACTTTTTGCACCAAAAATATTATAAGAATTTTTTTCTAGGAATGTTATACATATTCACAAAACTATTTAGCTAATTTTTAAGAATGTCAATAGTCGCTTTTTTATTTCAAAATCACTTAATTTGAACTATTAATCATGGGACAATGCTGCATTATTTTGTCTGCCTTTATGTACTGGTCTTTAACATCTGTCAGCATGGATTGTCGCTACATCCCTTGCAGGCTATCACTAAAGTTGGAATCCAGTGGAGCTCACTTACTGATTCTTAAGTGGTGGTCATTGTTTTTGTGCGAATTTCTGTTTCCAGTCCATGTACTGCAACCTTTAATACACAAATCTGGGGTATCTTTCGCTTCTTGTTGAAAGGTAAACTGTGTTTCTTAAGAATGTATGCAAGTTTTCCAAAGCAGTACAAATCAATTCATGCCCCTTGTGTTGTTAGGTTGTCTCCATAGTTATTTAGGAGACCTCAATCATCTTTTTTTGAGTATTCATTTATGTATATTTATTTTGAAAATAAACATTTTTTTAAATGATGGGTCAATGAAGTAAAAATCCACTGAAATGAGAATGAAAGCTTAGAGGTTTCTGATAGTTTCTTTTTTTAGATGTCGGACAGTATGTTTTTCGCATATCAGTTATATATTCCTTTCTGATTTTATTTCATTGTAAATTCTTCTTGTGAGTGTTTTTTAATAATGACATTTTTCATAACTGTTATCAATTTACTTCATTTTTACTGTGTCTTCCACCATTATGTTGATTTGTGTCCACTGTTATGTTTATCTTTGAGGAGCTTTAATGTCATTGTTTTTTTATTCATTAGTTTCATTTTCTCCTGATCTCTTCAGAGTATCTACTTGCATGTTTAATTAACTTTGTGTTCTTTATAATTTGGATTGCAGGAGGTGGTAAAGATTTGGCTACAGCAGCCTCCATAAGCTCTCTTAAAGAAGAACCTAAAGATGAGAAACCAAAAATTGAAGATTTACCAGGTAATAATTTTTTAACATTGTGCATAATCCATGTAAATATTAATGAACTAATGGTGCTACAGAATGGCACAGACTATCTCTTCTAGTTAGTGTCTCTTTGATTTGGCTAGCTTTTTGGATTTTTCTTCACTCTTCATGGTAACTATTTGTGCCAAACAGATCTGCTATGTCTCACCATTCCCTGGGGGCATTTCCAAGGCAGAGTACCTTTGCACTTCTGAAGATCGCGTAAGCTGATCTTTGTCCTGTACCTTTATATATTTGTCCATGGGCATAGGGATCCAGTGCGTCATTTACAGATAGATGGCACACACCTCACTTGTTGGCTATTAGGCTGTGAAATATGGGAGGATTAGGGTATAGATGTAATGCACAAGGGTCTCAGGATGTTCCCAAGCCAGATACACACAACTTATATTCCCTCAGCCTTAGTTTTTTAAAAATTTTGAACCCTCAGCTTTAGTGTCACATTCTTGTGCTTATGTGTCCCAAACCTGTTTCACAAGGTCAAATCACTTTTACATACTATTTGTAAATGTGTTATGGTTTTGAAAGATACATTTGATTATTATTTTGAATATATGTTCATATACAAGAAGTAGAAAGTGTATTCTGTAATAATTATTCTTTGTTATCATCAGATCAAATTTTTGTTTCTTGCTAGATTACTTTGAAATAGCATCAGAGGATTTGTCTTTCTGTTACAAATGTTGTGTGTATGTGTTTTTAAATATTTTTTTATGCACATAATTTGAACAGGAAAGTGCAAGGCATTATAATATGCACCAAAAAAACCATGAAGCAAATTCAGTACTTTTTGGCCTTGAGGCTGGATTTCTCCTGTTTATTGTTCACCTGTTGGATTGATGTTCAGTCGTTCTTGAGGAAAACTTACCTTGCAATTCAAGGGAGTTTCTTGCAACTCAAATTCAGAATTCATTTTTAAGTCGCACACACAAGTTCAAATTTCTGAGGTATGACAGAATATCAACAGATAATCAAGGTTTGAGAAGTGATGTAGTTTTTTTCTTATATTTAAGAAACGTTCCCCTTTTCAATTATGTCTATCCAGGATGATAATTATTTCTTCTCTTGAATCCCACGCTCCCAGCATTTGACCTTCAAAGCAAAACTCCCACTGAGCTGGTTAAAGCCAATCAATGGCAGCTTTATACACACTTTCAACAACTATTTTTAGCAAGAGGTAAAGTAACATGCTTTTTATCTTGTTAGTTAACATTTCAATTGATCGATTCAAATGACACACATGTTTCTTGCATGATGGAAGTGGCAAAGAATATTTTAGGAAACCTTGGTATGATCAGCTGATAACTAAATTATGGTATTTTGCTGAGAATGGCCTATGAAGGTCATTTTGCTAAGAAATTATAAGAAAAAATCCATATAATTAATAATAGTTATAATTTGTGAACCAAGTTCAAAAATATGGAAACTACAGGGTTTTTCATTCATGTGTAGAGACAGTTCGGTGTTTTTCAGATATTAAAAATACAATTCATGTAAAAAAAAAAAACACTCCATTTTGAATTAGGAAAATAATAAAAAATTGAAAACTCATTGTGTTAATTTCTCTCCCTCTGGACACTAAAATTTTACCTTCTATGTAAGGCACGTTGAAGGTACGTTAAATTTCTTCACACCATAAAAAAATTGAAGATATGTTTATCCTGGGTGTGTTCGTAATAGATCTCTGAGATCCAAGTCACAGCAATCTTACTGAATTATTGCGATGCAATAGTTGTGTGATATTTCAGGTATTTCGTCATTGAACTTTTCTCAGAAAGCCTGACCTCCTATTTTTATCATTTCATTGTATCATATCCTTTAAGCGTGTTGAAACGTGATCGCTGCATTGCATGATATCTATCAGATACATTACCTGCAATGGCACCAATGCATTGTGAGCTCCGGGCGTAAGCAGTACGTCTTGTATTATTTTCAGCAGTGTCTTATGAGAAGTGCCAGTGAAAAATGTAATAGATCATCTTATCTAGGATCGACTGTCACTATTTCTTACCAAAGAGAAAGATGATGTGCAGGAGACTTCTGTAACGAAAGGGAAAAAATAAGATAAGTTGTTTAATGATTTTTGTGTGTTTGTCAATTTTTACCTTTCTCAGCATAAATATTTACCCAAGATTTCTGCAGTGTAAGATTCTTTAACAATGACGTTGAGGGGCATGTACAAACAAAATAAAATACATATTTCAGTAAAGAGAGCTTGAGATCATTCGCATTCACCAAAAGTTAAAGGTATGTCTGAGAGATACATTCCCAGGTTAACAATGAGGGTGCTAAAGAGATTTCAAAATATCAATATTTTCTTAACATCCCCCCGTTTATATCAGTAAGCCTGGTTGCACGAGCATTATAAAGGTTAAACTATCATTAAGAACCGGTAGTAAATTTGATTTTCAAATTCAAAATTTCTATCTGGTACCAAGTAAAAAGTGATCAACAAGCTGCAGAACTCAATCTTTTTCAAAACCTTAGAAAGCAATTTTTCGAGAATTGTAAACGTAGGGAAAATATTACCATTGCCAATATGTCAGAGGTAAACCAAAATTTGTAAAATGTAACCAAATCATCTTCAAGAAACCTCCAAATATCTTAGTTATATTATATTCTACTATACAAATCTAAGCTTTCTCACAGCTAAACAATTTGAATATTTTTTTAGTTTACAAATATGCTGTCTGTCAAAAATCGCCGTACTGACACAACTCTATTTCAGCATTCCTAACCACTGATTAAAATACCAGGTTTTGAAGTCTATAGAAAGGTCCAACGAAGTAGAAGAGGATGAAGAGAAGAGTAGTAGTGCCTGCAATAGACAGACTTGGGCCGGAGCCTGCAATGTATCTCTTAGATATAGCTGCAACTTTTTGTGAATGCAAATGTCAAGCTCTATTTTCTGAAATATATATATATATATATATGTATATATATATATATATATGTATATATATATATATATATATGTATATATATATATATATGTATATATATATATATATGTATATATATATATATATGTATATATATATATATATATGTATATATATATATATATGTATATATATATATATTGTTTGTTTGTACATGCCCCCCCCCCAATGTCATTGTTACACTGTGACAATATACATAAAGAAGAAATTATCTCTTTAACATTAACTTTTGACATTCTTTATTTCATTCTGTATACAAACAACAAACATAATGAATGTTTGAAGATAACATTTAAGGTAGACATGGTATTATCTTCCTGCTCGGAACAGCTTCCAACATTAACTGAGGCAGACAATGAACTAAATCAGAATTTAGAGGAAATCACTGCCTACAACAGTGTAATTATCATAGGAGTCTTCAACTACTCTTAACATCAGTTGGACCACCTTAAACTCTGAATCCATCTATCTTGTAGTTTTTTGTCAGGAGTAATTAACACTACTAGATTCGAACCCAAAATATAGAAACAACCAGATAAGTTGCATGTGGACTGTGAAGAGCATTAAAGACTGGTTGTGAAGAGTGTCCCTCATACCCCTTTTAATAACATTGCAATGTTTAATCCAAATCACAAGAACCAGAGGTAAACTGATTATATTTCAACGCAGCCTCTGGGGCAACCTTTCAAATAACCTTGGTGAATTGACATTGAGAACTGATGCTACCTAATCACATAAGAAAATGCTTTAAAATGATACTGAATTGTGTGAAGAATATCTTTCTGATAAAAGCAAACTGGCCACTGAAATACCTTTAACACATTACACCGCACGGTAGTCAAAGTTGTCTGTTCTGACCAATGTATTATTCAAGACATTGTTAAAAATGGCTATTGTACCCTTCAGTTTGAAACTAACATCTTGTAGTATTGTCTTTTCTATATAATTTTATGTACTTTTTATTGGTATTTGTTTTTGAAGAGAAAGGTGAGAATGAAATTCAAAAAAAGCTGTTATCATTTTTTAAAATTTTTGAAAGAATTAAAAGAAACGAATAACAAAGAAAATGTAGAGTACTTCATCTAACAATAATACCGGTTCGCTATAATTATAATGTTTTGTTCAGAAATAATTTTATTTGCATATATATTTGTCTCTGGTTTGATTTTTAGAAATACGCTGTGGTCAACAATAAAACGTCTCTAGTTCAGTTGAATCTTCATTTACATGATATTTTATTTCTCTGGTTTTCTCAAACACTTGAAATTTAGATTGTTCATCAATTTCACACTAATGTAAAGGAAATAAAACTCTTGAATATAAGAAGACTCTCCAACAGAATCATTTGCATCATTCTCTCTCTTTGCTAACATTTTTATCACTCAAACTGGTCATCCTGTTGGGAGCTTACACAGCACTACAGTGATGTCACTGTGATGACATTCAACCTCCTGATTAGATGATAGCACAACAGCTGATGTAATGCATGCAGGTACAAATGCAGGCAAAATGCGTGCAGGTACAAATATCTAATTCAAGAAAAAATTGCAAATTCATGCAACAAATAGAATCACACTGACAATCGTCCGGTGACTTTCTTACGGACATTAAGAAGCATATTTTAGGTGTCTGTAAACGTCTGAGAGACGTTTTTAGTGTGACAAAGAAGATAAATGCAGAAGAAAATTGACATACATCTATAGGACATAGCAGTGATATGAAGTTGACATATCGGATACATCCTTAAGGTAAAAAGTGTCCTTGTACAACTAATTAATGAAATCAGGAAGGAATCCTCTTGATTCACTACAACTGCAAATAATGAATGGAAGCCCTAATATAATCTCAAGAATGTGATTCAATTGGAAAACAGACTTGGGTGACTGTATAAAGTTATAGCTGAGTGCAGACAAAATATCTGCAGTAAAACTGGAATTTTCCCTGGAAATCAGCTTGGATTTGTTCTTGAATGATCACTTGCTTGAAACTGTGTGTAGGAAAGTGGGCAACGCTACATGCCCGAGGATTATCAAATGCCATTATCTACTTCGAAAAGGCCTGTGACTGAGTACCCCACTAAGCTTACTTAAAAATTGGGAACATCTTCGAATTAGGTGAAAATTACTGGGTAGAAGTTTTCCTCCTTAACAGAAAATAAATATTTAGAAAAATTGAACAATTTAAGAATGGCTTTTAGGTATACTTATGTTGTCACTTATTCTTATTACTACAATCATTGTGGATAAGGGAGGGTTTCTGAGAAAGACAAATAACAGGAAAAAACATTCTATGCTTTACAAAAAACAAGGGAGATCTTTTACCTAGGAAATTTTTGAAAGATCATTTCCAATAGTTGTATGTTCATATTGGTTTTTAAAGTAGATTTGAGTGTGGTATCTGGCTAGTTTTTCTTTTCAAAGAGCAAGAACACTCGACATTGTTATTTGTTTATCATTCTCCACATTTTTAGTGTCAGGTCTGGCATGGTGTTCAAGAATTTCTTAATATATTGTGGGTAGATACGAATGTTTTTCACGTATTTTTAAACTACTGGTACTTAGCAATCTTTTTACCTGACACAGACAAGACAAGAGATTGGGACAGATTCTTGTCAGGGTTGTGGAGTTACATATGTGTTTTCAAGTGGATATATTTGCTCTTCAACTACCAAAATGAATACAAATGTAGAAACAAAGTACAGGAGAACAATATGTGAGATGTTTCTGATATCTGAATTCTTATTTAATTATCAGTTTAGTTGAGAATGTATGCTTAATGTTGGAAAACAATATTTATCTCTAGAATCACAGAGTAGTTTCTATCTTAACTGGTCTGAAAGGGATTACTTTGTTTCCATGTGCAGATCAATGCATGCTTTTTTGCAAGAATATTTCTGTGAACGAGGACTTTTCAAGCTTGTTGAAAGATTCCTTGAACTTATTATAAACAGTGGTTCCTTGAAATTATTGTAGTATTATTCAATGTTCAAATCTGTACTTCCACACACATACTTTTGCTGTAGAGGAGTTACTCTAAGAAGAGATTGGTTTGTCAGGTTGGGAAACATATGAATGTCATTCAGGGCAATAACAATGCACGAGATAGTGGTGAATTTTATTTACAAATGAGCAAATTGTAAACAAACTGACAGACGAAATGAGTTCGTTAACATAATCTGTAGTTATGTTGCCAAGAGTGGCCAAGCAGTATCTGCCAAAGTGTTTCCTTGTAGTAATCTCTCTATTTTAGAGATGGAATTATGAAAACGATTAGGAGCAGCTCATCCCTCCTTAGTTTTTAGGTCAGCCATTTCTCAAGCCTCCAAGGCTTGTTAATTATGCAAAATGCAAGCTAATATTTCTTAATGATACGAGAAGTAAATCAGAAATTGTTATTACTCTTCACAACAGCATTTTCACTAGGTGGGTGCACATCTTTTGAGAACGCTTGGTTGTTGATTTGTGACGAAAATTATGTATAAACAACAGCTCTTATCCAAGTTGTTAAGATGTTTAATTCCAGACTTTCTGCCACCAACTTTTTTTATGGAAAATTAACTTGGAACTGTCAAAGTGTATTTGTACTCTGTAAGAGCATGATTAATGGAATTCCTTGACTACATCAGTAGATGACTGCTGAGTCTACAAATAGAGAAATTACAAATTAAGACCTGCTTTCCATGGATATTTATAGTAAAGAAAAAAAATGTTGGGTAACATTTTGGAAGTTCAAGCCGCTCCTCGCAGCAGCTTGTAGGCAGCTCTGCAGCCACATATGTTCAGTACTTAAATGTCAAATTTGCTTCTAGTGAACATTGATGATAGATACTGTTGAAACACCTTGCATAATATCGTGATTGAGCAAAGCAAATTTGAGCATTGCAAATTCCATCCACAAATGCTGTTTCCCATGTTCATTAAAATCTGGAGTTAAATTTCGTACTTCTATTGTTCATTCTACCTTTGCGCAACTTAGCATGTTTGTTCAAGCTTGGGGTATGTAATGGATCATTGATTGGAATGTATAGGAAAGTGGATGAAAAAACTATATGACCAAGGGACTTAAATTCTGTCATGTATTCTAAATATTCATCAAACTGGAGCACTGACACATACAATACATTATTTACTAGTAAAAAGCTAACTACATCAGTATTTCGGTCACCCTAATATGGCTTTGTGTTTCAGTGAATGGGAATAATTGATTGTTGCATTATAAAGATTTGAGGCATTTTTTTTACCATGTAAGGGAGTTATGAAAGATGTTAAGTTAATATAGATTAGGAAACAAGTTTTTTTCCTACAGGACACGTCAGGAGGTATGATAGTTTTAATGACAATTCAGATTTCAAGCTCACTCTAGAATTAATTGTATTTGCATCAGATGTGCAGTACTAATTGTTCATGATTCAAATAGGACAAATGGATTAATATCTTATGTAAACCTATGCCTGACCAAACCTTGTGGCCTCCAATTGGGAATCTTGATTATCTTAATTATATGTATCAAAATAATGTGAAAATAAACTACATCCCTTGCAAGTTGAAAAATTAGTATTACAATGTTTTTTCAAATTAGAACTAATTAACACTTGTTTTTAAAAAAAAAAATATTTGCAGCCCCATTCCAGGAGGAGCTCCTAGCATGTGCTTTAATCCGTTTATACACCAGAGTGCTGTAAGGCATTGTGTAATATTTTCACTCAGTGTGAAATACAATATTTTAAAAGTGGAAAACTAATGTGCATTTTAATTCTATTGGTGGTAGTAATTACTTATGTTTTCAGGCACTGTAAGTTAATGAAACTTAAAACGATGTGATGGAAATAATAGTAATGTCATTTTACTGTCTCATTGTCCAATGCTATTGGTTTTTGAAGCATCTAAATTTTGGGATTTTGAAGTCATTGCAACTTCCATGTGCTCTACTCAACTCAGGAGACTGCAATTATGCAGAAGTCAGGGCTACAGCACCGTCTTAAAGAAAGAAAGGAATGTTTTTATGAGTGCGGTTGACTCCTGCAAACTTCTGGGTACTAATAATTTTTGGTTCACTATATCGTATAATAATATATACGACCGGCTTTCGGTAGCAGGATGGTGCAAGCAGCTATTGAAACTGATCGCTTTTCCATATGACACAGTGAATATCTCCAGGGTGTGGTAGTTATATGCTTCGTGTTGCCTACATAGAACACAAGACACTTTGACCTCCGGAATATCAAGTAACACTCAGATAGATACTGAAGTAAGCAATCGTGTGTCACTACAGTCATTTGTAGCCCACGTAAGACATGGCCTTTGTTTCTGCAGCAAAACCGAATGGCGTAAGGTTATCAATATGGTGCCCATTCCTGGTCTCCTATCTTCACCACAGGATACAGTACTGCTATTATGGCCTTTGGCCGACTTTTTTTTTAGCTGCCTAGTGTTGGAATTTGTGGCTCTGAGGCAATACAACTTTTTCCAGGAGGAAATTAATTTCCAGTATGTTGTATTGCCTACATTCACTACAGTTGAGGTTCAGGTTCACTATAACCGAGTCTTCTTAAGCTTATTAGTAACATAAGTGAAACAGGGCCAGTGACTTAAGTTCACTATAACTGGAATCAACTGTATATATTAATGTCAATCGATAGATGAGCAATTTTGCTACAGAGTAGTAGGATATAATACCTTTGATATTTCAGAGCTGTCCTGATATGATCCAGGACTATGTTAGCTCCCATTCTGCCGGACAAAAAAATTTAGTTGAGTTGTGTTATGTGGAAAAGTTTCTAATCTATTAATGTAATTCGTTCAGTATGGTCAGGTATTCAGTTCGGTTGATTAAACTACAAAATAGCTCATTCAATTCATTGGTATAATCTGCTTAATTTTATTTTATTTTATGATTTAGGTTCCATAATTGCCATTTTGTATTACCTGTAATACAGAATATTTATTCCTTCTGTGGGATGTAAATCGTTAAAGTAAAATGGGTCTTTAACTTAATTTAAATCTTTTCTGCCGCTAACTGCGACCACATTATCAAATTTTAAACTAATTATGTAATAGTTTGGATAAAACTAAAAGATCAAGGATTACTAATTGATACCTACCTCCTTCACTGTCTTGTAGGTTCTGTGAATCTCCATTATAATTCCCGTTTCTGTTAAAACATCTTTTAGTTCATTAATAAGTTAATTAAAATATTGTTTATTACAGGGTCAAATGCAGGGAGTAATGCTGCGAGTCAACTTCCTTCGAAGATTCCTGGAGGTCTAGTAACAAAAGCGAATTCATCGTTAGGTTATGAAAAAGTACGTGTTGGTGCATCACAAGGGCAAGCACCATTTCCATTTTCTGCTCCTGGTGGTTTATTTGGCGGAATGGGCTTTTTTCAAGGAATGCCTGGCATGCCACCATCTTTAACACCAGCCTTTCTTCAACAAAGTAAGCCCATGTGCTAGATGTATTGAGAAGCTTTTATTTTATATTTTTATTTTCTGTATTTGCTTGAAGTAAGTCATTCTGTGATATTCTCCAGACATTTCAGAGATGCTGTTGGTCACTAGTGCACTATCTGAATATGTAAGAAAATTAACATTTTTTTGGGAGAGCGAGAGAGAAAAAGAAAAAAGATCAATCCTTTTTTTGTGAAAACATTTTTATACTCTTGTTTCTGTATAAAGTGAATGGTTTTAAACTACACTTGTAATTTATTATTACATAAATATTTCAGCTTAGCTAGTAAGAATAAAATCCTGTAAAGTGCCCAATGTATAAGTTTTTAAAAGTGAGTGCTTTACTGAATATGTACATACCTGAACAAACGTTTTCATGGTTTCTCACCCACAGTTTGGTGGTATTATTTTTAGAATGAGTTAATGCCGGTGGCAGCGATGGTGTAACAGTTAGCGTATCGGACTGTTGTACCCAAGTTGGCGGGTTCATACCTGATCGAAGCCGTGGATTTTTAAGGGCAAAAAAATCCTTCGTACGCCTTCCTTCGGAGGGGAAGTAAAGCCGGCTGTCCCATGTTAGTAGATTTACTTGCATGTAACAGATCCTCAAGCCTAAATGACGCCTCTGAGCTAAATTCAAATCGCCTCTTTCTCGCCCCAGAAATACCTCCTTTCTCTGCTAGTTGGTGAAAGGAGCGTAGGGATATTTGCGTGGTCAGACGGAAGAGCGGGCCTGATGGTCCGAGTCTCGCCACGTAAAATAAGGCAAATTCAATTCAATTTAATGCTTTTTTTTATGATTGTAATTTGTTGTACTGGTGGTCTGCTCCATTTTGCAATAGTTCAATAAAAATTGGTGTTCGTACCAAGAATCTTATAGAATAGATTATTTCTGATATTTTCTAATGCTATGCAATATTAGTTTCTGATGAAACCTTATTCTGTACATTGTGATATTGTTAATGCAGCCATGGAACTGGGAGGAATGAACCCTATGGCTGCTGCTGCCGCAGCTGCAGGCCTTGGACCAGGATTCATGCAGCAAATGAACCCCTTTCTCATGCAACAAAATGGAGGAAGTGCAGCTCTGCTACATCAGCTGTTGGGACCTGCTATGCATCAAGGTTGGGCTGGTGGTCTGTCTGGGAAAACAGTATCTCAACTTTGGATGGGAGAAGAAGCTAAGGTGTGCTTGAGAAACTATTTATTTATGTAAAGTTGCCTTGCTCCAGAAAGTATATATTATTAGAGAACTGGAATTTGGAGTGTGAAAGAAATGAATTGTCAATATTTGTTTATATTGTGGTACCTTTCAAGCAAAAAACAACAACAAAACAACATTGACAGCTGAGAACTGTTTTCTGTTTATTGCGTATTTGCTTTAAAAGTGAAAATAGGTTCAACTCTTAGGCTCTGATTTATACATTATTTCGTATAATTATGGTTCATATTGGGGTGACTAAACTTAGTAATTTTGCTAAGCAATTAATAACAAATCGAAAGACTTAGTGTGACTAAATTGTTCGGAATATTTAATAGGCAATTTAATATTTTATTTTTTTGTAAATCTGCATTTCTAATTGCCTGTCATATGTAGAAGAGTTGAAACTCCAATTATAGAATAGAAGGTCCAAAATGATCTCATTTTGTTGATTTCAATCTGCAAAACTTAATAAATCTTTCTCCTCGAGGAAACCGAAAACTTGAGTTTTATGTCTAGGGGATAAGATATGTTATTGTGCTGCAATTGCGTAGTTACTTTTTCAAACATTGGGAACATATTGGGTTGATCATTAAAATAATCAGAAAATTACATTCATTAACAAATTTTGTTTTTCAATGTGCTCATATACTAATTTTTATTCAATGTACAATTTCTACGAGAAATAAGTACAGAACAGTAGTAGAAAAAAGTATAGTAATCATTTGTTGTAAACAACAGTGTTTTTTCTCAAAGAAACTTAATTTCTTAATCAAAAGAAAGTGGGGTGTGACAAACCCATTTTGACCAAATTGAAGTCTTTAAAGATAAACTTATTAAATTGTTTGGACCCAAACCGTGAAGGGCGTGAACTGTACCCAAAAAGTGTTGGATAATGTCCAAAGTTGGAACAGCATTGAAACATGTTTTAGATTAGTCAAATGAAGTGCACATTAGTCAACACAAGGTGGTTAAGGTTAATTAAGTAAGTTTTGATGAGGAAAATCAGAAATTACTTCATAATCAGTAATTGGACTGCTGGAGAAAAAACAAGAAATGGCTAGTGGGAGTGTGTGTGTAGGTTTGAGTTTTGTTGATTTATTGGCTCATATTTTTCCTGCACAATGTAACCTAATCATATCTCACTACATAATAACTGCACAACGTTTCTTGACCATTTGCTTGAAGAAATAGGTATAGATTGGGGATATTAGGTACGAACTTGGCCAAATTATTTTATGAAGCAATGCCAATTACTTGAATATCAGTCATGCCTTTGCAACTTTCTCATTAATTTGTGTTGTAACTTTCTGAGGAGTTTGAGGTATCTCCTCTAATGGATCTAGACCTGCTTTAGCTATTACTTTAGATTTTTTGAAGAAAAACATGAACAGGAGTTTTTGTCTTCAACAGCAAAAAGTTTTTATTACATACCAATGAAGATGTATTTGAAATGCTGTCATAAGTTCTTGCTTCATGTGTTTACCTTTAACTGTTTTTTGTGCCAGATAGGGGGGGGGGGAGGTAGCCCATCAATCAAGAAAAGTTACGTGGGTTTTAGCCTAGTTGATGGTTTGTTTTGTAATTCTAAATCCAGGTGATGAAGTTAATGGTCTTTGTGATTTGCAAAAAACAAGTGTGACTTTGGACAGCTCATAATTTTCAACACCTTTCTATGCCAAAATACATTTTTACGAACACACTAGATACTTCACATTCAGCCAGCCATCTTTCTTTAGTAGCCAGAAATGTAAACACATGGAAAATTATTTCCAATTTGGAATTTTTAATAATTATTTTGGTCACTCTTTAACATGACACGATTTCAAGAAAAGTGTATGATGCACTAGCATAAGAACGTCAGAGAATTTGGTTCCTAAAAGCCTTGGATAAAATGCTTTAAACATGCTCTTCGTGAGAGTAAAGCTCAACTTCTCTATGTAATAAGAAATAATTGAGTTTCTCCTGAAAGGAATATAGTGAAAGTAAGCTTCTCATGTTAATTTACATTATATTTGTTAGAAGTAGTTGTTTTTGTCTTCTTTTTTCATTAGTAGATGCATGCTTACATAAGCAGTGAAACTCCTTGAATTGGAATAAAACTGTAGTACAGTTGTGTTCCATAATGTTTTCAGCTTAAGCTCTTTCCTCTGACTAACTTCGTGTGAAGGCAAAATCGGAAGTCTTCGATGTCCAAGGAATGAATTCTTGATTTCCCAACATTATGTTGAAGTAGCGTTAGTAATTTTAGAAGTTGTTTAAACAGGAAAATTGGGAATAATTGTTTTCTGTTTTTTTGGGAGAAGGCTCAATGTTAAAGAGGTTGAGAGAGAAGAGATTTGTTAGAAAGTTTGTCTGTTTGTTAATTTATCTATTTTTGATTGATATCTTTTTTAAGGCCTTTATAAAAGAAATTCTGTGATAATTTAACAACACACTAGGTCATTACAGAAAAAATATATTATTTTTACTTGATTTCATGCTGATATTATTTGCATTTTTTATTTATATAGGCAGTTACCAATTTTGTGTGTTGTAGTAAATTTTATTTTATGTGAATAATAAAGCGGAATTGAACTAATGTCTTGAAATACCACAAAAAATCACTAATTAAAACTTAAGTGGTGAAAAAACTATGAGTAGAGTTTATTCAAAATTGTACAGAAGGCTGTGATTAAGTTGTTTCTTTTTCTTTTCAGATGAACATGATGGGGGGTGGTCAAGAAGAAGAGGAAGTTGATGATGAAGAAATGGGTGTGGCAGAAACTTACTCAGATTACATGCCATCAAAATGTAAGTGTTGTTTTGTTTTGCAGTTTATGAATATGTTGGCACCAAGGTTTCCTCTTTTCAATGTGCAACTGATAATTGTAAGTTATAAGTAACACTGAACTTAAAAAAGCTTATCGTACAGCTACTCTCAATTCAGTTGGTCGAGACAAATCTTAAATTACAAATACACATGGGTTGACATTGGTCCACTACATTGGTCACATTTGCTGTAGCAACTGCAATCAGTTGCAGAACTTGCTATGTCATCTGCGCTCAAGTTTGAGTTCATCACTGAGCTCTTTTAGTAGTTACATCAAACTCTTCTCGAACAATCTTCACCAGCTCTTTAATTTACAGCCATTTACGATTGAATGAGCACCAATCAAATATATAAACTTCAGGTTTTCCACTTACACATGAACCATAACTCGTGTGATATATTGCGCAAGGTGTCCTCGTGCAGTTTATTTTTTTCTTTAATTCAATTGTATAAATTTACGACCAAACACATATGAATCTAAGTACATCAATTACAATTATAGTATGTTTGCGTCACCACTATAATCAAAATCAAATAGGAAGTGTGATTCCTCCTCAAAGAGACATACTTTGGTTAGTAGTGAAGCAATTCGCACCACAGTTTTAAAATTAAAATTAGTGCCAAAAGTAATGTGCTGCTATCTACAGCTACCAATATGACTACCTGTCTTTGAGCCCAAGAAAATTTTTGAGGTTATAGTTTCGTTCGAGAGAAAAACACTCGATATTTTCCAATCATGAGCGAAAGCTCCTGCCTCCAATTTTACAATGAAATCTGGTGCCCAATTACCTGATATAACCCAAAAATCATCGTAAGTTCAGTAGTAATAGTTACTCGGCACCACACATAAATACCCCTTAATCACAGTTCATCCCACCAATTCTCTGTGTACATATTGATTTACCTACATTTTGTCTATATTTTGATGTAGTAACGATGTCGAAAAAAATAAATCACTCCTGGAAATATCCCCAACTTATTGTAAATCCTGGACTGACAGTTTGGGGGATTATCAGCTGATGCTACAATTCATCTTGCGGGGAAAAGATGGAGAGATGCAATTTTCACCATTCCTCAATTGTTGTTGAAGCGGTCAAAAAGCAGTTGCTGGACTGAAAGAACTGTGTTCCACTCGGCATGCAGGGTGCTTTATCTCTGAATAGCAATAACACACCTTACCAATCACCATAACTCTACACAAACTACATGTTATATTATGCTTACTCCAGACAATTGCACTTAAACTCTCTCATTCTTTGGTTGTTTGTTTTCAGTGAAATTGGGTAAGAAACATCCTGATCCTGTGGTGGAGACAGCCTCTTTATCAAGTGTTGCTCCCACGGATGTATGGTACAAATTACAGTTACCAGATGAAACAATTCGCTCTGGTGCACTGTCTGCTCTTCAGTTGGAAGCTATCACCTATGCCAGTCAGCAGCATGAGCACTTCCTTCCAGATAAATCTCGGGCTGGCTTTCTCATAGGTGATGGGGCTGGTGTTGGAAAAGGAAGAACTATTGCTGGAATAATTTTTGAAAATTACATCCGTGGGCGAAAACGAGCTATTTGGGTATCTGTCTCAAATGATCTCAAATATGATGCAGAGAGAGATTTGCATGACATTGGTGCTAACAAAATTGAAGTACATGCTCTAAATAAGGTATGGCACATTTATACTGTGGATATTAATTTATATGTGCCATTAATGATTTATAACAACTTAATTGTGTATTGCAGTTTAAATATGCAAAAATATCTTCAGCTGTTAATGGTAATGTTAAGAAAGGTGTCATATTTTCAACATACTCTGCTCTTATTGGAGAAAGTTCTCAGTCTGGTGGCAAATATAAAACAAGATTGAAGCAGCTATTGCAATGGTGTGGTGAAGATTTTGATGGATTGGTGGTATTTGATGAGTGTCACAGGGCCAAAAATCTGTGTCCTGTGGGGTAAGATATAATAAAATAGTATTGTGTATATTTGAGAAAATATATAATTAGATGTGCTGACTTGGTATGTACATAAATTTGTGCGTGTGTGGGTGTGGTTGAGAGGTTAGAGTGTGTGTGTAAGAGTGAAAGTGTGTGTGAGTTGGAGTGTGTGTGTGTGCGTGCATATGTTAGTGCATGATTTTTTCTCTCTTAGAATTTCAAATTCATCAAAGATACAACTAAATTTCTGTTGTGTGATCAGCCAGCCAATGGTCTACTGACTCTAGTTCAAGTAGTAATAGCAGTAAATTATTTTTTTTGCGATTGCATATAATAATTTTGCATTATTAATATTTATTAGAAACCTTTTAAAAATTAATTTGAAACAGGAAAAACAATGTTTTTTATAAATACGTAATTACTTTCAAAGAAAAAAATCCTCTGTAAAGTACAATTGTGGATTAATGATGTGATTTATGAAAATAAACTACTGAGATCATTCAGATGAGGGCCAATAAATTAGTCGTACTGTCAAAATAATTGGTCTACTTAATGCATGTATATTGACACCATAATCATAAATTGTTGAGAAATAGGATAAGATGTCAGTAAAGAAATTTCACCTTAGTAATATTCATCATGTTAAAAAAAATACTTCAATCTCAACTTTCTACTTGGTTTGAGTTGATCAAAATAACATTTTATAAATCTTTGGTGGAAGCAGTACTGTAATGATTCTTGTATCTGATATCTAGTCTTAATGTTTGCTTCTGAAGAGAAGTCCAAATCATGAAGTGTAAAATTTACAAAAGACCATGAAATATGAATGAGATTTTGTAATGTGAACATTTATAAATTCACATATCCCTTTTCATTCATATCATCAACATGTTTTATGTTGATAACACAACACAGGTACTTGTTGCAATTTGCCTTTGGATTATTTTTTTATTTACACTGATGAGTAATCATGAGGTACAGTAAACGACTGTCCTTTAAATGTTTCAAAAATTAATACACGTACAGAAGTCTAGAAGGGTGCACAGATTGTAACATTAGTGTTATTGTCCAATAAACTGTTTATGAATCTTATTCATATTTGTTTCTGACAAATAGTTTTTTTTTTTTTAATGTTAATTCTACATTCAACCAAGTTTAATAAATTTGCAAAATAGTTGTATTTTCTGCTTGTGTAAATATATTGTACTTACTATTATAGATCAAGTAAACCTACCAAGACTGGATTAACCGTGTTGGAACTTCAAAACAAACTACCCAAAGCTAGAGTAGTCTATGCTTCAGCTACTGGTGCTTCAGAGCCTCGAAATATGGCATATATGACCCGCTTAGGAATTTGGGGTGAGGGTACACCTTTTCCTGAGTTTGCGGACTTCATCCAGGCAGTTGAGAAACGTGGTGTAGGAGCAATGGAAATTGTGGCTATGGACATGAAATTAAGAGGCATGTACATAGCAAGGCAGCTATCTTTCCATGGAGTTGCCTTTAAGGTATGCCAACATTTTCTTTTGTTATTTTGTGCCCTTGAAATTCTAGACATATTTGTTGATACTACTGAAGTACCCTGATGTGGAAGTTCACTCAGATTTTAGAACCATTTTCCACAAGAAAAGAACAGACAATTTCTCTTTAATTGCAAGTAGTTAAACCGTATACAGTTAAACCTCTAATTAACGAATTCCTGAGGACCAACATTTGGAAAGTTAGTGAATCGGTTTTTTGTGAAGGGAGCTTTATGAAAATTGTAATTAATATATGAAATTATGCATAAGATTTAATTAGCATATGACAAATAATTTGTGTGTTACCTTTTTTTTACAAACGGTATTATTTATTTCTGGAAAAGAACTCTTGATATTTTGCTGAGTTTTTTGAGCTCTTAGTTCAGTTCGCCACAGTTACACCCAAGATGAAACATTAGGGAGTTTGTGCACGCCTTAGCGTCAGCACTATGGATCTTCTCCGCATGCTCAGATGCACTATAATGGGGCGAAACTTAAACTGCACATATTCAGAAGATTAATAGTGCTTTAACATTCGAGGTGGGCCAAACTCCCTATTTTCTCAATGTCATTATAATATAGGAATCTAATATAATATAACTATGTAATGACTTGACTTGCATATAGGATTTTGGCTGTGATTAACAAACCTGCTGATATGTAAATGTTTTTCCTAAATGGTGAAGTTATGTCATTCAAAGTATATTCTTGGGAAGGCACCATCTCCAGCACTGGCATTGATATGTATCATGTGATTGGCACATGTCATTCGAGGGTTCTTGCAAATTGCCAAGAAAGGAATAAAAATGTATGCACTAGGTTTTGAATACGTCACGTGTAAACAAATAACACACTAAGGAGAACTTATTGGCTGCAAAGCTGGGGTGACTGGAAACATGTTTGTAAATTGATAGCAGGTCAAAGTTTCTTGCATAGAAAAATATGCCCATCTTAATAGTGTAGTGGTGAATAAATAAAGTAGTTATTGCTAAAGAACTGGGAAAATAATGGTGTAAAAATATTGAGTCTTTATTTTACTTATAATAATCAATTTCAGTTATGCGTTTTTCTCACTTATACATTTTTTCACATCAGTCCCCTGAAAAACCTATAAATGAAGTTTTAAGTGTCATTAATCAGTCCACAATGCCAAAACGAAAATGCATCTGAACTCCAACCATAGACTGACCACATTACCATGATTATACTATAACCAACAATCAAATCTATATAAAGTAAAAGAAGTTATAAATTAATCATCCAGAGATTGGCTGGCAAAGGTAGTTCAGGGCATCAAGTGATGTCTCAGCAGTGCCTATAACTGGGGAATCTTGGTATTGGAGTTCCAATAGTGGAAGGATTATCGACACTAGCTACATAGCTTTGTCGAATTTAGCTTCTGTTTACAGGAGGATTCTAGCAGGTGGCTACTCTGTTCGGTAGTTTCCCATGGTTTCTATGATCAGCACTAGTCGAATGACGGAGCAGTATTCTAACAAATGTGCCATCGATCCGGTGCAATCTTTCCTTCCTTTTCCTTGTCCTATCCTCACCCTTGCACACACTTACTCACATACACTACCATACTTGTTAAGAGACTATTCAGGAACTTAGAGCTTGTCCTGGCTGGGACAGTGCCACACTGGTTGGATATCTTATTGGGTAAAACCCCACAAGCTGATGTAGGTTGGCCGCATCTTGCTGTTGGGGGAAGATCACCCCACCTTCTACGGTAAAAGCATGCCCTCAAGAGCTGAAGGTCATCCAATATATCAATTTATAAATGCATTAAAATAAGGTTATAAACTTCCATCACCATTTATCATTTAAATTTAATATCTGTAATACCATAGAAATGTTTCTTCCTAAGGAGAAATGTTTCTACAATATCAAATCTTTCAGAGCAAATACATCACAAATTCAACACTGACTTTTTCCATACAAATCATATATCCATTTTTTGTTCTTAAGGGGCGACAATGTTTTCTGTTGAAAATCCTATTTTTTTCCTGCAGCAATACAATTTTTCCTGTATTTTCTATAGGCAGTATGCGCCAAAATTAAAAATAAAATTGTTTGGGAAAATATTTTTTCTAAATATTGTATTTCACATTTTCTTACCTTTGGTGAACTTGGGAAAAAATATATATTGATTTATGGAGGCAGGAGTATTAAAAGTGGAAAACATTTGAAGCTTGCAAGGAATTTTGTCATTCAAATGTATAGAGAAGGTGTGTTAATAACTGAAGAAAAACAAATTTAATTTCTGTCTTGGTTAAAAATGTTTGTAAGATATTTTTCATCATAATTTCACAGGGTGTAGTATCTATATAAATTTCTTTCTTTTGATTAAGAGTTTTGGGTCAATCATTCTTGAATTGCTCTTTATCCTCTTTTAGGTGGATGAGGTATCATTGGCAAAAGAATTTGTTGAAGTATATGATGCTTCTGTTCGCCTCTGGGTAGAAGCAATGAGAAAATTTCAGGAAGCTGCTGAGCTTGTTGATGCAGAAAATCGTATGAAAAAAACCATGTGGGGACAGTTCTGGTCAGCACATCAGCGATTCTTCAAATATTTATGTATTGCTTCAAAGGTAAGTGGAGACTTGTAAATTTTCCATCTTGGTATCCTATCCTCATCAAAATTCTTTAAATGTAAAAGTTAAGTTTTTGACATCTTACCATATTTACCTGAATACAAGACAACCTCCTATTTTTAAAAAGGTTTCCTGTGGATTGTTTTCATTTTTGTGTGTCCTCTATATTTATTTTCATGATTGTCTTGCTCTGGTATGGACATGTTAAACGGTTCGATTATGTAAAATATTAACAAATCTGTAGGTTCTAATGAGTCAATGAGGGAGAAATCTGATGCAGAAAAGGTTCTCAAATTTTTGGGCAACATTGAGAGAGACATCAGGAATTATATTTGATTAGGTAAATTTGAGCAATAGTGTAAATGCCCAATTACAATAATTTTGAGAAGTCATGATCTTGCTATTACTTTCTTGAAAAATTAACAGAAATGTGTTGATAATATAAACGTTAACTCTGACTTACCTATGTTACGGACCAATAGAAATACTTTGGAGGTGAATAAAATAATTTTAATGAAAACAAAGAGATTAAGACTATTAAATAGTGTAGACTCAAAAATCATAGATCTGTTAAATACATTTTTTTTTTAAAGTGTGTGGATTGACAATTTGAAATTTATTAAAATGGGAGAGAACTGTGAACAAAAATTAAAGAATTAGAGAAATATAGTTATATTTGTGATTATTATGATATAATTATTAAAGAAACGTGACTAATCCAAGATATTTTTAATTCTGAATTTGTAGGAAAATTTTAAAATATTCAGAATAATGCAAACTGGAGGGGTTACAATGGCACACTTTCCTGAATTATAGGAAATGGCTACATAATATTGTAATATTGCAATTATTTAACACTTCAGCTATAACTTGAAAGAACTGCAATTCAACCGATTCAAGCAAAGTGCTTGTGGGGTATTTTGATAGTCAGGAATAGTAGTCCTTTCTTACTTGTACAAATGTAACACACATAAGCATATTAAATGGTTACATAAATATACAGCTCATTACACAGAAAAGCAAGAACAATTTCAAGAACTGACTGCGCGTAAAATGCAGAGTGAATTTTTCGAATTTTTACAATTTCAAATTTTGTGCCCCTTAAATGGGACCAGCTACAATTTTCTTTATCTTTCTTTGCCATTTGGGGGGGGGGGGGGAAAATTAGAGAAAATAGAATTTAATAATTAAAAATTGCTTGTTCACAAAAATTATATCGTAAAACAAATTTTCCCCCCTTTTTTTTTTTTTATGAGCACCTTTCATAATTTTATCTTCGTAATTATTGTTGTAGGAAGATGCTGAAAAAATTTGAACTTTTACAGTTTTCTAAAGATAGGGATTTCAATGCAAAGGAGTCCCTCACTGTTCTATTACAAGTCCCTTACTCAGTCAGAGGTCAAAATTTAATCAAAACATTTGAAGTTGTTTTGAAAATTTGGAATATGTCCCAGGGGCTTCTTGCAAAGAATTCCCTAAAATTAAATTATTGGTTTCAAATTCAAGTGACCATGACCTCAACCAGATCGATCGGGGATGATCAATTACGGTGAAAATCCTGCAAATGGATTAGTCACTAGTATTGTTGATGGAAGGATGGACAAACATTTTGCCGTCAATCAGTTTTTTGATATCAAGAACCCACTAAACAGATTTTGTCTAAACAACTTGTTAACCTGAGTATTTGTTCGGAGAGATGTGTTGAGCTTTGTTTTTTTCTTCACTAAAATTTGTTTTCAATATTTGTTTTTTTGCTTTGTTTGATCACATACATCATCAACAAACAAATTAAAAGGATGAGTGAGGGACTTTAGATAATTCTTTATTAACACTGTGATTGATTAGTCTGTATTTATTACTTAACCCATGATCTTCTCTGTATTGGCAACTGGTCTTAGTTTGTGTTGCACCATGTACTGGGGGAATTTCTTTCTCCTTTCTAAATAACTATGTCATAGCTGCATTTGTCACGACTGAGACATGTCTGTGGATCACAGTATCCTTTCCAAAATTTTTAGAGAATTTATCAGCTGCTAGTCTGCTTAAATTCGGTAAATTATTATTATTATTATTATTATTATTATTATTATTATTATTATTATTATTATTATTATTATTTTTTGTGGCAGATAATGTTCTTTATGAACCAATTTCAGAAACTTAGATAATCTCCTTGGATCTGTTTCAAGTGCTTTCTTGAATTATAAAGTTTCCGGTGACCAAATCACATCAGCGTAATCCAATTTACTATGAATATAAACCTGTTGTCTTAGTTTGAATAAATTATTCAGCCAAATAAATATAAATTATTGTACCAAATCTCGACAGAAACATGTTTTCTTTCCTAACAATACACGTTCTTCAATATATATACTGAAAGAAGTTGACAATCAAAGATAACCCCCCAAAGGGTGGCCACTTTCTGGTAAACCAGGGAAAATTGTGGAAATGATTTAGAACAGTTTGAGAAAAATTCATAGAATTTAAAGGAAAATTTCTAGAAGTCAGGAAAGTTTCTTGTTATAAAACTAAATATTATTTTGTAAAAATTATTAAAGTGTTAGTAATTAGTAAGGTGTTATTTGTGGCACAATTTTAATTTTTCAAGCAAATATTGTCCATCCTGTGTTTTTCATATTTTCTTTAAAAAGTGTGAAATACTGTTCTAATATGTCTAGGAAAAATAAACAACATTCACCGCAAAAGTCAGAAAAGTTGGGAAATTTTGTTTCAGGAAAAGAATGGCCCCCTCTCCTAAATCCCTTATGAAATTTACTTTAATGAAATGTATTTCTCTGAATCTCATGTTCGTGAATAGTCGTGTTCCACAATCAACACAATTTTAAATTCCTCCGAATTCAAGAAAAGTTAGCTGTATATTTACTGCAAGCAGTCATCTATTCACAAAGTGCAATTTAATAGGTAAACAATCTAGCTAGAAATTGAAATGTGTTGTTGAAAACAATTTAAGGGTGCAATTTAATGCTTTGAAATTCCATCTGTGCTTATGTACTATGGATAATGGGACCCACCTTCCAAGCATTTCTAAAAGAAAAGTAAATTCCAATCAAGTTATTTTTAAAGCAGAAAAAATGTTAGGGACAAGTTAGATCGTAGATTGTTGGTAATATTTTTCATTCAGAAGATCTTGTTTGAAATTAATTTTATAGGAGTTTTATCTTCAAACCTGTGGAAGCAATAATTCTGAATTTTTTACGTAAGATTCAAATATAGACCATAAAACTTCCAAGGTAGAGTTTTAGATACCGAGTACTGATCATTAATTTTATTGATACTTTAAATTTATGTTGTTTAGTAAGATTTACCTCTTTCTGGAACTTGTTTAAGTAATATTTCTTTCATTTCTTGATAAAATGTTTTGCAGTCTTGACCTAAACAAGACCAATTCATTGCAAAAGTCTTATTTGATTGAATTTAAATGTGCTCCTTTAAAATCAAAAAAATGTCTAGTGTACTGATAAAGTTTCAACTAAATGATAATGTAAGCTATTTTGGCTAGTTAAAATTTAAAAGTTTAATTTGTTAATTTTGTTTGTAGGTTGCTCATGCAGTGTCTGTTGCTCGGGAAGCTGTAAAATGTGGGAAATGTGTAGTAATAGGTCTTCAGTCCACTGGAGAAGCACGGACCCTTGAGCAATTGGAGAGAGATGATGGTGAACTGTCTGATTTTGTATCAACCGCAAAAGGGGTCCTGCAAACTTTGGTTGAAAAACATTTCCCTGCTCCTGATAGAAATCGTATTCACAGACTTCTTGGCTTGGAACCTCCAAAGAAAGGCATGGGAAGCAATGGGGACATTGATGAGGCTGGAAGCTCCTCTGGGAAAAGAAAGCCAGGTAAACAGTGAATCTGATGCTTGTGTGTGTGTAAGTGGAAAAAAATAAACAAAAAATAGACTGTATATTCTAATAGTGTGATCTTTCCAATAGTACGTCAAGCTGCACAGCGTGCAGTCAAGAGAGTCCGAATGGACTCTTCTGATTCTGAAATTTCAGAAGAAGAAGAAAGGGAGCGGGGAAGTTCTGGGTCAGAATTTAAATTATCTGCCTCGGATAGTGAAAGTGAAAGTGCGTCTGATAGCCAGGCTTCATCAGATTTTAACCCCTTCTACAGCGATTCTGATTCTGATGCAGGTATGGCTTGTTGTGAATGGTTATTGTACACTTACTGGGAAATTACATCATTTTTCATTGATCTGCATTACGGTACCAACATCTTAGGTTGAGTAAGTTAAGGAAAAGAGAAAAGAGTTGAAGCCAACATAAGAGAATTATTGTATTTTTGTATGGATGCACACTTAAGCATACCTAAGAGTAGAATGGTCTCATATTTATGAACTTAAATTTTTGAGGTGATAGGATTCTTTGCTACATGCTTCCAATTACATGATGAGGCTCTGGACTTCAGCCCATACACTTAACGTCATTGAGCCTGTCCATTGCATAGTTTCTAATGTTTTTATTTCATAGTACTCTTTGGCCGAACACTTCTAAGTTCCACCTGATACTTCACTGTGTGTCTTGAAGTTTATAACAAGGCTTAGGCCATCAGACTACTTGGCTAGCATAAAACATCCATGAACCAGTGCAATGCATAATTGACATTGAACATTGTTAGGTGCAAGTTTTTTTGTTTTTTTTTTGACACCACTGTAAACATGTTTCTTTATTTTGTACAGTATTCTTTGAGCGTACAGAATTCATTGCCATTATAGGCTGTGTTGCGCTGCTCTCAATCACTGTATGATTGACAAAATTACTTATGAAAACTTATAATTGTTAAGTTGATGACAGATTTTATGAAGTGAAGTACAATTGTTTGTAAAGTTCCAGTAAGTTTACATATACTGAAGGTTTGTAAGGGAAATTTCTTTAAGACAATTCATTCATTATGATTTCTCTTTGCAATTCATTATAAACAAATTTGGCTGTGTTTGAGAGCAAGATTGTACTTGCACAATTCGCAAAACATTGACATTATGCTAAAATCATAATTGAAGGTGTTGAGCAACGTAAACAAAACCATCATGTCACAAAATAAAGATCTTAAAATTCCTCCCAAAAATATATGTTGTGACCCAATTATGTACAATAATAATTATAAATTTCTTTTATATAACCTGGTTTTACACGCATTAAATAATACTACATACATAATACTAATTACATTTGGAGTATTAACATTACTGGTTTACTGGTTAACATGGAGATGTTCAAAATCTTTAATCAATGTCCAAAATCTTTGGTCAGTACAACTATGTTAATAATAATAGTAATAATAATATTTTATTATTATAATTATACTATTATTTTATTATTATAATTATATTATTTTATTATTATAATTATATTATTATAATGTTAATCTTTATTTTATTTTACTTAATTTATAAGTGCAAGTCTCAATTAGGTTTATTTTTAATAATCTTTGGAAACCGTTTTTACTTGTTATAATATTATTAGGTAATTAATTATATAATATTATTGCTTTTCTATAGGGATCTGTGTTCGTTGATGTTTTATCTACACACATCCTGCAGTAGTTTAATTGTCCTCGAGTATAGTGATCAAGTTCTGTATTGCTTTATCTGGAGCACACATTAGTATTTTGTATCATTAGGAGTATTACTCTATTCACATACAATGCTACTACAGTCATTATTTCCTATTCTTTTTATACATTTTTGCATGATTGTTAGGGTTTTAGATGAAAGATGCATCAGATTGGTCTTTTCTACCACAACACATTGAATATTCCTATTACTTTTTGCTCCCCATACCCTCCCATACATTTTCTATACCATATTGTATATGTGAATGATTGATTCCATAATATATTGACGTAAGCGTATCTGTTGCCATGTATCTTTTAAAATTTCTCAAAATGATTATGGTAATACTTAATTTATTACAGACTTTCTCAATATGTCTACTAAATTCTCCTCAATGTAAATTCCTAGAAAGTTTTGACAATCTTGAAGGAAATCCTAATCATTTATTTTGACATTGACTTTGTTGCCTATGTTCTTATGGTTACAGTGTCGGAAATGTGTCATTTCAGTTTAGGTTGTTATTTCTCAAGTATTTATATATGTGTTCAAAGGTGTTCATAAGTTACAATATGTATTACAAGTTAGTTATATATTACAAGTTACAATATGTGTATAGAAGGCATTACAAAATCCAAAATGTAAAATTACCTTTTCTCTATCTTGAAATTACAAAAATGGGGTTGCTCTCAAAATAATTAGGTCCAATTTTTAGGACTGTTGTAATTAATTTGTAAGTGTACATGCTAATTCAAGTATTCAACGATGTGAAGTTCATTTAAAGAATGTATCAATTAATTATCATCGTTTGGATTATTATTACAACAGATCCATGGGATAGGCGTAAGAAGAAGGGAAAGAAACATAAGAGCTCGTCATCTAAAAAACGGCAGTCTACTGGAGAAAAAATTGGTTCTCTTCTTCGAAAACAGTCTCGTCACAGACATAAAGGAAGTAGCAAAAGAAATGGTGACGGTGGCGCTGCTGGGGATGGAGGTAGTGGTCGTCCTTATGCTCCTCCAAAAGATGCTATTGAAAGAGCGTGTGGAATGAAGGAGGAATTATTGTCACAAGTGGAAACTTTGGGCGATAGTTTACCTCCCAATACTTTAGATCAGCTCATTGATGAACTTGGTGGACCTGACAATGTAGCCGAGGTATAATATGAATCTTTATATAAAAATTTTCTGAAATGGGTTTTTAGTCATCAAAAATATAAACAATATTTGATATCTATTGTTTGTTTCTCAGATGACAGGACGTAAGGGTCGTGTTGTGCAAACTGAAGATGGAATTCAATATGAATCACGTTCTGAAGTTGATGTACCTCTGGAAACCTTGAATCTCACAGGTGAATACTGTTTTGATGGTGCTGGTACCATTTCCACAAATTTGAATTCTAATTAAAAACAAAATTTCAAATAAAATGTTACTGAAAGGGAATACACTGGCTGTTAACAGAGAAACAACGTTTTATGGATGGGGAAAAAGATGTTGCCATTATCTCGGAAGCTGCATCCAGTGGTATTTCGCTTCAAAGCGATAGGCGAGCTCGAAATCAGAGACGCAGAGTTCATATCACTTTAGAATTGCCCTGGAGTGCTGATCGTGCAATCCAACAATTTGGTAAGTTTGTGTCATATTTTTCACATATTAACATATTGCAGACCTAGGATGAAAATTCACATCATATCATGCCCAAACAAAGCGTACCACTAACAGAGATCATTGTCTTGGCACATTCTCACTTGTAAGGGATCTTTTATTGTTTTTAGTAAATATAGCTCCATTCTGAATGATACTAGTCCTTTTTGAATTTTCATGGCTCCCTATATTCACTTCAGTAAAGATTTCTCCTGTTTTTGAACAGGCAAATATTGTTGATTGCAACTCTGAGAAAATGTCTGGGATTGTGGTAGGATAGCGTCCTGTTTGCTGGTCTGCAATTTGTTAAGACGTTTATTATATTTCTTGGAATATCAATGTTGTAATACATGCTTTTAAAGAAAGATAAAAAATTGCTAAAATAAATTTTACAGGGCGTACCCATCGAAGTAATCAGGTTAATGCACCAGAGTATATCTTCCTCATCTCGGATTTGGCTGGAGAAAGACGATTTGCTTCTATTGTTGCCAAAAGATTGGAGAGTCTGGTAGGTACTTTTAGAATGATTTTTCAAGACATCAACTCCAAATAGTCTTCTTAACCATCTAATGTTTTTGTATTTCTATAGAGTTGAATGTCTCGATAGAACAAAGGCTATCCCATTTTTTGTAAAACACTATTATTAGTATTCTTTATTATTAGCGTAATTAGCATAACTTTGTATATTATGCTTTTAGTGTAATGTGTAGATTTTAATGCACTATGAAATGTTAAAATATTCATACAAACGTGCACTATCAACCACCGAAACATGCTTGTAGGGTAAAGAATGACAAAACATGCACAATCGATTTTAGTTTAGAATCTTTCTTGTTTTATGTCACACGATGAAATTGGAGTGTACTTCAAAGATTAAATGTGAGTCAATGCAAATGAAATTGATTTTTACACAAATAATGGTTTCTAAATTTTGCAAAAATTTCAAATGAGGATTTCAATTTAACACTTCAAATAATTTTTCCTTAGCACCTCTCACATCTCCAAAAGTGTGAGAGCTCCAAGCAATTATTTACTACCCTACTAGGAGTAAACCTGCTTTTTCTAATTTCTGAATGTCTAGAGGCATTTTACAAAATTTGATTTTATGTTGCATGGCAGCAGACTGAGAGACTGCTGTTGATTATTTCCCCTCCCATTACCAGTTACCATGTGATATGGAGTTGCTGTTTTCTGTGTCTTCATTATCTCTTGCTTAATTGCTTGGTATTGATTTATTTCACAATTGTTGCTCACAGTGCATGTGCCTCCTTTGCAAATCCTAGCTTGTGTTCCAAAGGATCAAAATTTCTATTATAACAATAAGCAAAGGAAACTGCCTACTGTCAGGATTTAGAAAAATATACTATTTGTTCAAAATACGCATTAAATTTAATATTTACAAATTATCCAAAAAACAATTTTATAGTGTGCCTAATATGCTAGATAAAAGCCTATATATAAAAAAAAATGCGTATGCATCAGTTTCTTTTAGAAAATCTACCAAATTATGCAAATGTGTTCGAAAAAGTTTGCATTTTTAAAATGAGTTCACCTAGAAAGTAATTTAGAAAGTTTGAAAGGTCTACAAGTAAATATTTGCATTTGCATGAATTGTGTGTCATTTGCATACTTTCATAAAAAATGAATGTAAATCATGCCTCTAGTAATGTGTTATTTCAATTCAGTATGGATTTATATGCAAATGAACTGTTTAAAAATGTACTGAGTTATATTATGAGTTCTATTAAAACCACCAAAATCTCAGAACTATGCCAATGTGGGATAGCCCCTTGTTTTACTGAGCCCTTTGATTGTGAACAGTTACAACATTTGAGTGTTGTTGTTCTTTCAGGGTGCACTAACTCATGGAGATCGACGTGCTACTGAAACACGTGACTTATCGCAATTTAACATTGACAATAAATATGGCCGATCGGCTTTGGAAGCAACAATGAAGACCATTATGGGCTACGAACAGCCACTTGTTCCTCCTCCATCAGATTACAAAGGAGACTTTTTTAAGGATGTAGCAGATGCGTTGGTTGGAGTAGGGCTAATCTGTAACAGTGATTCTGCACCAGGAGTCCTTATGTTGGACAAGGATTATAATAATATGAGTAAATTTCTCAATAGAATTCTTGGTATGCCAGTGGATCTTCAAAACAGGTTATTCAAGTACTTTACAGACACGCTAAATGCGATTGTAACGCAGGCTAAAAAGTCTGGACGTTTTGACATGGGAATTTTGGGTACGTATTAGCATAATTCAATATTCTGTAACTTTTTTACATTCTTTAAACAGAACTTACAAAATTTAGACAATTTAGTGAATTCCTTGTTGTTGTTTTTTGGAATATATTGATTTCATAAGTTTTAATTATTTGAATGTTTCGATCAAATGAGTAAAGACTTGTTCAATTTATTATTGGAAATATATACTGTAACATAAATAAGAGAGGTAAGTAAAAACATGTAAGAATCTTTTTCTTCCCCAGATCTTGGAACAGCAGGTGAAAATGTTCGAAGAGTGAAATTGTTTACTTTCCTTCGCCGTCATGCTACTGGTTTGGCTACAACTGAACTTCACATTGTTCATGTAGAACGTGGTATGAGTTGGGATGATGCAACAAATCGTTGGTCTGAGCTGACAGGAGCTTATGAAGGCTTTTATCTCTCTCACCAAATACGAAACAATAAGCAAACGGCAATTCTAGCAGTAGCTGTAGGAACATCCTCCAGCAAAAAAGATGGTAGCACTAAGAAGGATAAAGAACAATTCTATACCATCTACAGACCAAATACTGGTCTCCAGGTTTGTTTCTTCTACTATATTTAACACTAGAGACTGAAACTTGTCAATCTAACAAGAGTAACACAGGAAAGCTTAGCCCCCCTTCCACCTCCCCAACCAGTCTGGTCAGTCTGCGACTTACAGTAGTGTCAGGAAAAAATGTGGCACATTACTTTTGTGACATACCCTGTGTATGGAGTAATATAACAAATATAATATAATTTGGAAAAAGTTATGTAATGATATAAACATTTGATTTCGATATTTCAATGGGAATGCATGTTTTGGGGTCCCTTGATTCTGAAAAAAGTTTTTAGTATTATTTTTTAAAATTTATTTTTAATTTTTTTTTTAAAACCTCTCGCCAGTCTGTCTGATAACATTGCGAACAACATTTGCTCCTAAACTATTCAGTTTTTCCAAAATGAATGTTTCCCATTTGATCTGGTCTGACTCAAAGCTCACTGCGATTTTGAAAAAGATTCTTTAAATTTTGAGGGTATTTTAATTGAAGACCCTGGGAAGTTTTCAAAATTTTCTCAAAATCGACTTAACTGCGAATAGAATTGGATCACATCTTCATAATGATTCATTCTAAGTTAATCAGATTGACAAACAAAAATTTATCATCACTTTTCATTAAAGATTTTCTTTTGGTTTCTCTCAAAACTATTTTATTTTTATGAAGTCACATGGCAATTGAATTTCTGGACCTGGACAACACCAATGAGGGAGTCAGACACTCTAGAATAAATTGCTACATGTATTTAACAATATACTTTTGGAATCATTTTCTGCAAGTATGTCTTAAAATATTTTCAGTTGTTGAGCTGTGGCTAGCCTTAGACATATTGCACATTTTCTGTTGTTTTTTTTTCTTCTGTGGGGACTCAGACACTCATCTGTTTTTTGAGGAACTAAGTAAAGATTCGTTATGTTGTTCCTGTACATTCACTATGTTCTCACGCAACTGTTCTTTACGTCAACAGATATTAGAATGAGATTGCGACGTGTTCATTGACAAGCTCAATTGTATGAAAACCCTCGAGTTTCCATGAAGTGGTTATTCATGATGACAATTTCAAATTGCTTTGTAAGCAAACATCTTGATACCTTTTGAAAGTCGGAATTACTACTTAGGGTTAGGAAACGTTCTAATAATAATAAATAGTCCTAAATAATGAAACCGTAACTCCTTGCCTAAATAGAGAGGGGGGGGGGGGTAGGTGAATTAAACTGGGGATCCATCATTGACATATCCCTCCCCCAGTATTTCTGTATTTAGAGATTTGAAATTTAATTTGTAGTGAGTACTTTGTTTTTATTTTCTAGTTAAGACAAGAAACTTTGGGAGAACTTGAGAAAAAATATAAAAAAGTATCCTCTGAAGATGCCCAAACTCATTGGGTTCAGCAGTATGATGCTTCTGTTAATACTTGCTCACATGCTTACTGGTATGTTTTACATCAACTTGTTAATATTAATTTAATTTGGGCATCTAACCTAAGATTATTTATTGAATAAGGTAATACTATACTTGTAATTTACAGGAGAGGGAACTGTAAAAATGTTGCATTGGGACTGGATTGTGAAGTGGGGCTACGACGTCGCACATATAATGTACTGGCTGGTTCAGTACTCAGTGTATGGTCACGTGTTGAAAATGTTCTGGCAGCAAGATCTGGTCACAATTCAAAGATGCAAGTGGTGAGATTGAGAACAGCTGAAGGCATCAAAATTGTTGGTAAGTTCAAAATATTACTTCATAATTTCTAGCTGTTTTCCAAAATAATTATTAATAGCTATGAAATAAAGGCAAATGTCAAGAAATCATCAGTCAAAAAAAGATAAATATCAGTATCATTTTGTATAATACAGTAATCCCTGGCTACAGTGAACCTCTAGAGACAATAATTTTGGATTCACAATCTTCAATAATCCAAAAATTAAGAAAACCAGAATTTGTGGTAACATTTTCTTTCACATTTTTGCAATTTTTCATTCGTGGTCACCTAAAAACATTCGTGCCCAATTTGGGAGCAATTACTATTTTTGGTGTAGTTTTTAGCAAACTACTATTTTTTGTGTATAATACAATACACTAAAACTGACATCTTCAGTCAAGGAACTATTCTAGCTCTCAATTCTTCAACACTAATTCTACTAGTTTGACCTCCTTTGTATTTACATTTGTGCAGTCTTGACAAGCCTTTTGTCACAAAGTTTGCTGACTTTAGCTTAAGAGCGCCAAGAAAGGTTCCTTAACTTACCTTATGATGTTACTGAAAACAACAATGTACTTTGAGGTGTCAGTGATTTTCATACACCTTGTGTTGTATAATATGTAAAATATATTATGATACATGATTAATTCTCAATGGAATCATCCTTTTCCAGCTGAAGTACTGAGAAATTCAAGAAAAGTATGGATTTGTTTCAATAATGTGTGTACAGATCATGGTCAATAATTGAAGAAATTGTTTTTCATATCTCCCATGTATTGGAATAAAACATTAGAATTATGAAATGCATAATCTGTGGCATCCTCCCACAACAATGCCATCTTAAATCTCTTCATACCAAGTTCTAAATGTTAAGCCAAATACCAAGCAGTGTGCTTGTGTACCCAGCTATGTCTAATATTATTAATTTATTTATTTATAATAGATAAGCCAGCAATAAATACAAAAATGTCTCTCGTTTGTAATGGTGTTTATATATTTCTTCATTGAATGGCAAATCAAGGAAATAGGCTGCAAATAAATCAATCTCTTCCGTTATTATGCAAGATTGCTTTGAAATAGGAAAGAAGTAACTCACACAGGAATATTTTCACCAGTCAATACGTAACAGAAGACAAATTTAATAGAATTAATTAATTTTATTACTGTTTCTTTTTTGTAGACCAAAACACCATAAAAATACCACTTTTAAGATCTTTCCTGTTTTAGGCAATTGATGCACATATTTATTATTTTAGTGTCAGAATGTTTATTACACGGAAACCTGATGAAAACAATCATCTTGCCCTATTCTCTCTTGTATTCGCTCAGAGCATGTTTTCTCACTTGGATTGAAGAACGTTTAGGAAGTGCAGAGGCCACTGACTACCTCCGCTCCAAGCAAGCACTTCATTGCTGTCCTTATTGTGTATTTAGTTAATCCTTGGGAATTTTTCAATCTCTCTTCAATTTAAGGTTTGATAAGTTCTTGCCCCCCTTAATTTTCTTGTTGTGCAACATATTATTTGTTCTAAGTTGTTTTGACATTGTGTGTTTTTGCGTTCCAAAGGACAAACTAGGTACATTTACTCACTAGTACTGATATTGAGTGACATGATTCAAATGCGTAACTGTAAATTTGAAGGCGTCTCAATAAAAACACTTTCATTTAAATCAAAAGGTTGGCATGCCAATCCAAAAAGTATAGTCTCATACTATACGGACATTTCCTGCTCAAGGACAGGGTGTAAATGATAGTGTACTTGCTTATTTTATGACATAGGTATAAGAATGCATGGGAAATTATGCACTGCACTAAGTGCACATTGTTTTATGTAAGTTGCTGAACGTTACAGAATGATTCCGTCATCCTCCATGAATCACATACTTTTGGGGGGAGAGTTCTATATATTAAGATTTGACATGTTTTTAATGACTTTAAAACTTTCTGTTTTCTTTCTTGCAGGTACTCTTATTCCTAACAGTTGTGTTGACTCCTTACGTGAGGCACTGTCATCAGATGCTGAAAAGACAGATGAACAGACGTTTTGAGAATTCAGTGATCCTTAGGTCACAGTAGTTAATGTAAGTGTTTTTCAATGAGATTTGATTTTGCAAAAGTAGTTGAATTTCTTTAGTTTCAAATAACTAGAACACATTTCTAATATTTCAACTATATCACAAATTAAATTGGAAGGTACTTGACTGTAGTTAAAAGGTATCCCAATAGCAAATTATAAGCTTTGGCATTTGTTTGTTGTCGCCTCAAATCATGGAACAAATGAAGCTTATGCCGTGAATATGGTCGTTAATCAGCTGAGTATCATTACAAGTAACAAGAATGAGGTTCATTGTGTTTAAGTGCATTTCAAGAATGAGAATTGTTGAAGTGTGTGCTGTTATTTTTGTTATTTTTAATCAGATGTAGCATGGTAGCTGTATTTTAAGAGGATATATAGTATGCGGCAATGCTGCCCCCCCCCTTCTCTTTAACTTTTATATTGCATTGATTATTATTTAGTGAAGGAAGGAAATTAATAAATGTCATAGTAGTTGCAAAATTCTGCATTTGAAAGAATTATAAAATAGCTTTTCAAAATTAATTCTAAATTAAGTTCTATATTTCTGTCTTATACAAACCTTTTTCTTACAGATTTTCAAGGACCAAGCCATAAGGTGAATTGCCCTGGCTGGAGTGACTGTGAATACGGATTGACCCTCTTATTTGATAAGTTCTTATTTCTGCTTCATTTGGCATTTACTTTGGTGTTGTAATGTATGGCAAACAATCGTATTTGATGTTTGCTTTCATGAGATCTTGTTAGTGTCTGTCAAGTTGTGTCTCTCCAGAAACACAGTGCATCTTAGTTTTCTTCCCCATTTGTATAATTTTCATGTGTGTGTGTGTGTGTGTGCGAGCATGCAAAAGAATGTGCCTAGTTTGTATGTAAGAGTGAGAGTGACTCTCGTGTATATGTTGAATGTAGAATTTCATCTGTGAGAAAGATTTTGCTATTGTACATTTTTTATATTTTCATTTTTGTACTTTTTGTTGAGTCTGTTTTGTAGTTGTTCCTCCCCTTCCTCCCATTAATCAAGTGATTAGAAATTGTCATACTGAAAATGAAGTGCAAAATAGAAACTCAGCCTTATTTATAAAGGTTAAATTAGTGTCATTTATTGGAACTGAATCTGTTTGTCGTGTATTTGTGTGTGTGGTAATTTATCTTGCTCTGTCATCAAATGAGCACAAAGGGGTTAATGCCCATGAAGTTGACTTCGACTTGACTTCTAAAGCACAAAGTTGTGTGATGTAATGTAATGTAATGTAATGTGGTGTAGTGTCACATGCCCAGTTCAGGCTGCATTTGAAAAGGTAGGTATTTCTGTTTTCATGGACTGTAAAAAGTAAACAGAAATTGAGCAGACTGTACAAAGAATTCATTATGTTAGAAGTACCTTGTTGCAAAGAAAACCATTTTTGAGCCGTTGATATCTTTTGCTGTGAGGGACAGCCTGTGTGGGCAGGGGTTGAGCAAGTTCCTAAACCCTGCAGTTTGCATATGGAATTTATTAGGGCAGTTGCCCATAGTGTTTTGTCTGCGTCCCCTTTTGCCCATTGTTCCTGCAAGTCCCTTCTTCTATTTTTGCAGGTTGGGCAATAAAGTGTGACAGAGAACACAAGTGAATGAAGCAGTATTGCAATAGTGTAGCATTTTACCCATTGTAGACTTAGATGACCACATGACATGCTAAAAAATTGGTTAACTTGCTTGTCATGGGGATCTGCAGTAGGGACTGCATGCTTTATCAAGGATGAATGTCCTTGCTTCTCCCTAATACATAAGTGTTAATTGTTCTCATTCATGACTCAAGTCATGTCTTAACATTGTACTACAGTCTTTCTTGGTTTTGTACTGTACGATACTCTCTATTTCAAATTTTATTTTGTACGGTGCCCCTTTTACAACAGTAATTTGGAAGATAGAAAAGTTAACATGTGAAGAACATGTAGAATGGTATTTTTTACGGAAGTAAAATTATATTTAATTCTGTTGAGTTGTAGCTGCAAATGTTTTATCATTTTCTGTATCACATCTGTGTTATTTATAACAAGTATTGTCCATAAAATATTTAAAAAAAAAGGAAAGTGTGTTTCTTATTATTTCAAGTAAGACAGTATTCCTCTGAGAGGTATTTTGAGATTGGGTTCTTCTCCCATTAAAAACAATTAAGAAAAGAAACTCAAATATGGCAATATGTTTTGGCACATTTGTAAGCCATTCTTTAGGGCTGGTTTTATCTTGAATGTTAATCTTTATCATGTTATTCATATGCACCAAAATATGTCTCACTTTAGTACACTAAGATTTCAAATGACATTGCTTGTCTCCATTGGATTCAGAGGAAAGAGAAACATTTACAGATAATGAAGCCCTGGAGAACACTTTTGAAGACTTGAAGCCTTAGCAACAAACATTAAAGAATAACCCTAAACTCAAGAATACTCTTAGTTGTTACAAAGACATCATGAATCTTTGTACCGGTACTTCATTACTTTCTTGTATGAATTGTGTTGCAATTACTTTGTAGTACTTCCTTGCTTGCTTTCAATAAGTAATGAGGACTTATTCATTCAAGGACCCTTAAATACATAAAATTTCTAGATCCTGCAGTTTGTACTGGGTAAATGTATCTTGTAAAAAGAATTGTGATGGTTGATAATATTTTGATCATTGAAAGATTACCAAATGTTTGAAGTGGAAATTAGTTCAGTTGCCATCCAATCATTCATTCCATTGTCCATTTAAGCTACTGATCCAGCTCATGCTATGAAATGGTAGAATATAGAACGTAGAACATAAGGTATGAAAAACTAATTAATGCTGATATATCAACATGCTCAAAATTAAAACTCATATGCTTATGTCATTGTCCCATTGCAATTTGATATTTTGTATAGGCAAACAAATGGAGCAGGAGAAATTTGAACATGCAAATTCAAAAATTGCAAAATTTGCTAAACTCTTGTGTAAGAAAAGGTCATATACATTTTTTAAGAAATGTTTTTTTAGCGTATTTCAAAAAACTATTGTACATTTGCATTGTTTATATATTTATTTATTTTTGCAATTTTCGAAAATACAAGAGTTCATTGAAAATGGGACCAGCACCACACCCTTCATCATTCTTTGCTACATACGAGGAAAAAAATAAAAGTGTTAGAACTACTTTTGAGGAAATAGTTGTTTAAAAATTGACTTCGTTTATGCAAGAATTACTAATATTCTTGAAAAATTGAACATGACCTTTTCTGTTTTTGATGAACAGGTTTCATTAGGAAAAAATCGGGGATTTCAATGAAAAGGACCATGGGAGGTCCCTGAGGACCGATGTTACTGCTGTGCCTCTCATTGGGTGGTAGGATTTTCAACACTAGAGCTAGGTCGAATTTAGTCGCTGCCTGAAGAATTCTAGCGGCCCGCTGCTTTGATCGGTAATTTTCCGTGATTTCTCCAATCAATGCCTGGCGAATGCCGAAGCAGTATCCTAACAAACGGGTCACGGACCGCCTGCGATCCTTCCTTCCTATTTGTCCTATTCTCACTCCTTATTTGCATGCACTACACTACCAGCATATGCCGGGAGACTGGTCGGGAACTTAGAGCTTGTTCCAGCTGGGGGCGCAATCCCCCCCCCCCTGATGAAAGATACCTGGTTTGGGAAAATCCCGCTAGCCGCCGCGAGGTCGGCGCCCGATCTCACCATCCATCGGAGGAAGGTCACAACCACCCGAGGAAAAATAAACATGCACCACACTTATTGGGGGTAATGACCTTTGTAGTTAACGCGCCTGGGATTACCAATCAAAATAAAAAATAAATCAAAGAAAATCAGACCCGAGCAACTTCGTTTAAAACTTTTTACGCTATTCAAAGACAAAACGTAATAAAATAATTTGTAGCAATTATTGAGAACATTTTGAAAATATTGAGGCTTTATCTAAAGAACTCCAAAAACTCAAAATAGTCGTTTGACCTGTGCAGGGCTTCGAGTTCGTCAGATCGATCGGGGAATGTGAAGCTCGGAGACAAGTGAGCGTTGACCAGACATTTTGCAGTCAACCAATTTTTCAATGACAAGAACCAACAAAACATGGATTCTATACAACGTGTTAGAGAAAGTAATTTGCAACATGCAGGGTAAAGATTTATGCGCTTTTCATTACCAGGGCCTGGCAATATGAGTTTTTCTGTAGAAAAAAATAGTTTTTTTTCTCTCGCAGCATTACATACTTTCTTCTGCGCGTGTAAGTATAATGTACATGACATTAAGGAACTAATTGTAAAGAACAAATTTCATTTGAAGGTACCTGTAACTTCAATAATTTTGTTATACAAGGGGATGCAACAAATTTCAATCTTTTGCATTTTTTCGAAATCCAGTATTAACAGAAAATAGAACCTATGACATCTTTATAACAGTTTTTCACTCTATTTTTACAATAAATTTAGAGGGATAATTTGAATTGAATCATTTTTGGGAGAAGTTTGTAAATGTTTCAGGGGCTACAAGTACAGTACCCCTGGCGGAGGTGATATGTGCGGTGAATTGTGAATTGGCACGAGCACGTTTTGCACATTATTCCCGTCATCCTTCCATAACTACATTCTTGCCTGAACCAAGGACCACTACAATTAGATTTAGATTTATTTAATAAAAAAAACAGTAAAAAAAACTATGGGCGAGAAGATGATCTGCGCACGTTTTCTTGAGTTCCAGAATCCCGATCATTTTAACTATAAATAAATATAAATTTTCAAGAAGCGCGAGATTTATAGAATTTGAAAAAAAATGATATTTTCGTTCCCGAGTTATAGAAAACTTATTTTCATCGGTAAACGAATTGCAGGTATGACTTTTCTGCATTACTAACAAAATAGTTACTCGCCCTTACCTAATCTCCTACCATTACAAGCAAGAGGAGAGTTCAACAAAAAGGTGGTCATAGTGAATCTACAATTACGCCCAGAAGCAAAATAAGGAGCGATCTCAGCATTTGCTCAATGGATCAGGGAAACTGGACTAAAATGGGGCTTAGAAGCTTGTGGAGCTGAAAGCTAATTAATTGGGAGTTTGACATAAATAGAGGCATTATTGTTAATATCAGTGGCGTAGGCTCAATGGATGATAGTGATGTGCCGCATCCCTAAGTTTTTCGGCCCTTTTAAAACTTTTGTAGAAAATGTGTTTCTACTCCTCAAGTATATCTTTCTATTCTATTCCGTTGGTACCTTTTGTTCTTTCCCATAGCGCTTTCCGATAGGCGTCTGTAACCGTGGATGTGACAGGCCGAGAAACTTCGCTTCGATGAATTTGCTTCGGTACCGAGGTAATTGAACTCTCACAATGTGCTGTGAGGAAAATGCGAACTTTCGGCTGACGGTGATGCGATGCTTGCTGTCGCATCTCGGACTTATCATTGGCGCTCTTTATCCTCTGTTAAAGCTTCGCCATCGCCTACTTTGAGCACCTCGTGTACCGATTCAAATAAATTTTCTGTAACTCAGAAACGAAAATGGCTATTTTTCAAATGTTGCTAATCTTGCGATTTTTAAAATTTATCTTTATTTATTAATGTTAAACTTTCACTCATCTTTCAACTATTTTTAGTTAAAAAGACGGGAAGTGATTCAAGAAAACGTGCGCAGATAATCTTTTCCCCCTAGGTCACATACAGTATTATATATATATATATATATATATATATATATATATATATATATATATATATATATATATATATATTAAGAAGATAAATATTCATTTGGTTCAAATAAGCTTATAATATTAAATTAATGCTCTACGTTACACAGTCAATGCGCTGCCCACCCATCATTAAAAAAGTAACTACGACTTTGAAAATTGCATGTTACGGGGTCAACGTCTCTTTCACCAATCAGTTTTCTTGTTGAGTCGTGGAGGTGCGGGCCCCGGTTTTCCCCGGCTATGTGTTGATGGGGGCTTTGGCCGCAGTCCGCGGCAGCGGCGGCGGCTGCGAGGGAGGCGCCGGCAGTGGCGGCTGTAAGCGTCTGGCATGCCAGCGGGAGCTGCAGTTGACCGCAGGCAGGTCACCCAAGAGTCAGGTTCATCAGGCACTGGTGACCGGCGTCCACGCAATCACTTTTTCGCCACTTGACACTAGCCGATCGAAATGCGGAGGGCGGCACACAGATGTCCGCGCTATATCACTCCGTGATGTGACTGTATCAACAATGATAAAGTGCAAGTCTTGCAGTCCGCGCCTGCAGCGGAGGCCGCACTCTCCCTCGGGGCAGTGACAGTTCCAACTTTACTCGGCCGAAATTTTCACCCGAAAGCCTCTACATCGCAACCTTACTCGCTCGAAATTTTCATCTGAATGAATTTACATTACAACAAATTTCACCACCGAACCTCTGTCTCCCGGCCATTCTCCGATGAGGTAGCCCACCATTCGTTGAATTTGAACGAATGGTATGGGAGTGGGGTTTGACCTCACCCAATCCAGTATCGGCGCAAGATCTAATTTGCGTGTATTGGGTACCTTCTGAAAAACGCACAGCTACGGCAGCCGGTAATGACTGGTAAACTGGCGACCTTTTCGAGAAGGCTACGAACCTCTAAATCACGAAGCGTCTCCGGAGTGAATTATTTCTTCGACTTATGAAAAATTCGAGATATAAAAATAATACTTTCCTTAAGAAATTGAACTGCTTTAAATAGGCACGGTTGAATATCATCGTTAAATCATAAAAATGTTCATAATATAAAGTATAACAAGCATTTATACTCGGAAACAAAATTTTGTGAAACATATCATGAAGATAATATATGATTTTAAAAATAACTTCATTGGAGAAAAAGTCAGTATTTCTATTCTGTTTTTTTGTTTTGCATTAGTCTTTGTTCCACAAGGTTTGGGAGAGGTATCGGATGTAGGTCGGTGAGACGAAGTCAGCGTTCCAAAATATCCCAAAGGTGTTCGATAGGATTCAAGTCAGGACTCTGTGCAGGCCAGTCCATTACAGGGATGTTATTGTCATGTAACCACTCCGCCACAGGGCGTGCAGTATGAACAGATGCTCGATCGTGTTGAAAGATGCAATTGCCATCCCCGAATTGCTCTTCAACAGTGGGAAGCAAGAAGGTGTTTAAAAAATCAACGTAGGCCTGTGCCACGCAAAATCACAAGGGGTGCAAGCCCACTCCATTAAAATCCCTACCACACTATAACACCATTTTGGACGTCTCCGGATACTTTTGATCACATAGTGTATTTGCAGATGCCTGTATAATCTATCGAGTTATCCAATCCAAAGAAGATAAGGATATTTTGCAGGGTAATCTAGACTACATTTCTGAGCGGAAAAGAAGAGCATGACAATAAATGGTTCGAAAAACAAATCCATCACGTTTGGCAGGGGCCGCAAATATAGTGAAACTCAATGCCTTTTAGGCAACGAAAATATCCCAAGAGCCTTGTCTTGTAAGTACCTGTGAGTAATTTTTGATAGCAAATTGAGTTGGAAAAATCAGGTAAACTTTGCAGTAGGGAAAGCCAGGAGGTTTTGCATTTTACCATGCAAATACTAAAAAAGTGTGCTGCGAATGCGAGAGAATTAGCTTACTTATCTCCAGTTCGTCCATTAATGGAATACGGGGCGATAGGAAGAAAGCAATAGGAAAAAATAGAACGGGAATCTCTAGAAATCAGGAGAGTTAAGGCAAGACTCTGTTCCCTCTACAGTGTATTCCGGTTATCCACCTTGGAAAGATATCTACATCCGACTTGATAGACCCACTTACTTTAAGTAGAACGGATCACAATCTCAAAATTCTGTTCAGGACACAGAGAACAGATGTTGGAAAATTTTTCTTCACAAAAAGAACAAAAATG